TTAACTTACTTATTTATAACTACTATTTTTCTATTTTTTAACCTATCTAACTTATTACTTTTCTTTATAATTTACTACTACCCTTTATATTATAATTTATTCCTACTTTCTATAACACTAGTAGTAGTTAAAGCTAATTATAAGTATAACACGTAATCTTATAATTACACTATTAAGAAAACCTAAAGCTTTATAAGTAATTTTAACCTATATAAAGACATCCTTAACTAAGACACCTTTAACTTTAATAAATTTATTAATAAGGACGTTAATAATAATAAGATATCTAAGTATATTAACTGCCTTACCTAGGCTAGTGCTACTAGTAGTTAGTAGCTTATAGAGAAGCGTAGTAGTAGCACTATAAGACCTAGCTTTACCCTTATTAATCCCTTAGCCTAAGGTAATAACTAACTAGACACTAGTATAAGTAGTATAAGTAAGAAAAGCTAAAACAATAAGGCTACTATAGAGGACCCTAACTATAGTAATAATAACACTAGTAATATAGATCTTAACTTTAACTCTAATAATAATAAGATAAGTAGTAAGAACTCTAAAGTGTTTAAAGTCCTAACTAAAGAAATTAAACTTCTAGATAGTATTTATAATAAGACTAAAGAGGCTAATAAATATATTTAATAATAAAAGATAGTTAAGTAATAAAAGAAGTATAATAAGCTTTATAAATATATTAAGTAATACCTTAATACACTTAATTAAGATAGTGTGCTATTAACTAAATAAAGCGCTATTAAGAAGGCTAGAAATAAAATAGTAAAAAAGGTTACTATAGTAGCTAAAGTAAAAGCACTTACTGCCTTATATAAGAATATATTTACTACTAAAAAGTTAATAATCCTTATTAAGGAGGAGGTAATTATACGCCTTAATAAAGCCTTTTATAGTAGTAGTAACTAAATACTATATAAGGAGACTAAGGTCTAGGTCTAGCGCTTCTATATAAGCTAATAAAGCTAATAAAGCTCTAATACTAAATAGTTATATACCTCTTTAACCTTAGATAAGTACTTCTAATAGTAGATTATAGCCTTTATAGATACTATTTTTACTAATTATAAGGAGGGTAAACTATAGTCTAAAGAACTCCTTAGTTATATAGTACTAATTAGCTTTATATTCCTATACTAACCTAAGTAAAGTAATTTTAAGGTTATAAGTACCTTCTTACTTATCTAGCGCCTAGACTATATCTTTATACTAGAAATTTAGTATACTTACTATATAGAGGGCTAATTACGTCTAATTAACTAGCTAGAAGACTAAGTTACTAACCTTACTACTAAAGTTAATAAGTACACTAAGTTAATTTATAAGAACATAAAAAACACTACTACCTTAGTAATAGCTATTAATAAAGCTAAAATAGCTATAGTAGTATAAAGTAATATTAATAAGGCTATTAAAAAAAGCTTATACGCTAAGGCTAAAAAGATTTACTAGTAGGCAGCCTAAATTAATAATATTAAGAAATAAATTAATACTATTAAAAATAAGGTTAAGAACCTTAACTATAAGGTAGATAATCTTAACGCCCTTAATAAGTTTAAGGCTAGGGATTTTAAATAGTTATAAGATTAGGTTACCTTACTTATAAAGACACTTTACCTCTAGTAAGAGATATATACTACTACCTAGAGCGTTATTAGTAATATAAGCTTAGGTAGCAGAAGTAATAAGTAACCTTACTTAGTAAAGGAACTTAGTAGCCCTATAGGCCTATAAGAAAAAAAGCGCTAGGCTAAGGCTATTAACCTAAGTAATAATAATAATAAGTAAATAGTAAGGTTAAAATATAAGTAAATAACCCTAAGGCATAAGGCTATAACATAAGGGAGATAGAAAATAGTAAATATTACTTTCTTAATTAGCTTTTAAAGTATTTAGTAAAAGAAGATAAGGTCTTTTTTAAGGGAGGGCACTTATTATAAGATAAGGTAGTAAGTACCTATAGTTAGGAGATAAATAGATAGTAAGGACTAGATATATAATATATATATAATACGTTATATATACCTTAAGTATATATCCTTTTAGTAAGTAACCTTTTATAAAAAAAAGGTTAACTATAAATACACTTACTATCTATTACTTATCTTATCTTATATTATTTATTTAGCTCCTTATTATTATTTATCTTGCTTTACTACTCTACTATTACGCTTTACCTTTACACTATATTACTTTATAACACTACTATAGCCTAGCTTTATCCTATTAGAACTATAACAGCTGCTAGGAAGGCTATATTAGCTATAGTAATAGTAGTAAGTGCGTTCTTTTACTTATTAACTATAAGGTCTTATAGTAACTTTATAATATAGTCTTTTTACTATTAGGTAGTAATAACGTACTCTTTAAGGCCTTTAGGCACTTTATAGGCGCTATAGATTTCCTCTACTTACTTAGTAGCGTTAGGTAGTAGTGTATATTCAGGGTGATTTCCCTCTTATTCTTAGGCTTTAGCTGCCTTATAGGCGCTACTTACTAGCTTATTATAGTTACTTATCTTAGTTACTTACTTATAATTACCCTCTATTAGCCTAACTACCCCTTAGTTATAGGCGTTTTTTTTAACTGTTATTAAGGGGTGTATACGTCTGTTAGAGGATTTACTACTAGTAGTATAGGTAATTATAAAGACTTATAGTTAAATAAAACTTAAAAAAGAAAGGCTTATAGTAAGCTTATATATAATAAAGGCTGTTACGTTAGTAACGTAAAATAACTTAAATAAAAATAGGAAAAGATATAAAAAAAAGAAAGTTAGTAAGCTTTATAGGCTTATAATAAAAGGAAAGTAAAAAGTAAATAATTACTAATTAATAGTAGGTTAGTATATAAAGTAAGGTGTTTTTTATAGTTAGATAAGGGACTTCTTATATAGTAATAAAGTTAATTTACTTATATAAATAATATAAATTTATACTACTCTTACTATATTAAGGGGATATAACTACTAAGTAATATAAATTAACCTAAAATAGGCATATAGCGTAATCTTATTATAAGGGTATTTATAGAGGGATTTTTTAGTAAAGCCTACTCTAGGCCTCTATAGATAATTAACAGCAAAGAATTACCTCTTCTTATGTCACCTTACTAATCTATAGTAGCTTATAGTAGTAGTTACTATAAAGTTAACTACTAATTAGTGTTAGTTTTACTAGGATAGTAATATAGTTAACTATACGTATTAATAGGTAGTAATAAATAATAGGGGTAAATACTAGTTCTAAATTATACGTAAAGAGGGAAACTATTATAGGATTACGCGGCAAATTCACTGCGTAATATCCCTATGGATCCGGTGGATCTACGGCGAATTGGCCGTAGTTATTCCGACCGATCGGCGTTAATCCATATCGCCGATATCCAGGCGATGGTCAACATTATAACATATATATCTTTTTATTTAATAGTAAAGCTTTACTTTACTATTAGCTAATTCTTACTATTAATCTACTTTAACGCAGTTAAGTAGAATTCGCCGCAGGCATGCCTATTCATGCATACGACAAGGGCAATTGAGTTGACATATATGAAGCAGACACTGACTGATTGGTGCCAGGCTATCTTACCCACCAACCATTGTATGCAATATGCATGGGTCTTCTGCTTTTCCAGCCGTCAGCACGAGAGCCTGCTTGAGGCATCCCTCGGTAATGGCTGCCTCAAGGCTGCCTTGGCGGGTTGCAAGGTCGCCTCAATAGTCAGTATCTTTTCAGTCCCAGCTCTCAAACATGCATATTGTTGATTATTCCATGCCTGACCTGCACGTTTCTGTATACTGCTGCCAATCTTGATCTTTTCCAAAAGAAACCCCATGAAATTGCCTAAAGGTATGGCAACACAGGCTTATACTGCCGTTCACATTCGTGGTGATGATGAAAAACGTTCGTTATTCTGAGTTGTCTCGCACCCAATGGTTCATGCGGTCCTGCTGCAGCAGAGCCCTTGCCGTCATCAGCCGAATTCCGCTGCTGCATTCTAGCAGCAATTCGTTCACTATCATGCACACAAGCAATGTAGCTTCCAGATCGGGGTGTTAACCGTCGCACCAGATTTCTGATCCATATGGAAACCTATGTATCGTGTACGTTTTGTAACAAACGTCAGGAACTTTCCAGAGTGACGACTGGCAATATGATTGCATAGCCAGCTAAGCAATATCTTATATGCTCCACTTTATACAATGACTCAATATAAACACTGCATATTTGTTGTTTCAACGTCCGAAAACGTGACCTTACCTCCCTCAATTTTGCGGTACGAATGCCTCAACTGATACTATCTACTGTTGCCTGAAGAAGGGAAACAAAAGAAGAAGGGAGCTATTCAGGAATCCAGAAAGAAGTGGGTTGCTAGTTGCCGAACCTTGGTAACCCAATTATTCCCGACCTGATGGTGGTCATATCGGTATTCCAGTAATGTCACTATAATAGAACTCTCCCACTCCATCTGGCCAGTACCTTCTCCATGCAGCTCTGGTTATATTTCCGAAAGTCCATCTTCCCCCAAACGATTGGTGGTACAATTTGCTTTTTCCCGAGCAGGGGCCTTTAGCGACGCATTCGGAATTGAGACAGCTATTTGGAGTTCCTCTCAATATCAATAACAGAGTTCCCCCTCGGCCTTCCGTTGAAGAGAGGCAAAGTTTGAGGACTCCACTTACCGCGGGTACAACTGCTCGAGAGGCCACTCGGCTTGTTCTTGCGAGGCCCTGCATATGTGGACGCACACCACCTTTTTAACCGCATTTGTCAGAAAAACTTGTTCCAGAGATTCAAGGACGAAAGAATCAACACAATATGATGTGCATAATATGAAAAAATAACTTACGCATGGAATAAGATCATCTGTCAGATTCTTATATTGAGCCACAAGAAACGGGCGGTTGATCTCGCTTTCTAAAGTGTTTTTCGAACCCTTTGTTCGTCTAGCTTGGTCAATCAAATGTTTGCAGGCACTCCCCTTGTCTATGTCAAAACTAACCGAGGTTCTGGCTGGTTGCCTGTCATAACCATCAAATCTGTTTCGGTCTCTGCCCTGTGCTTTGTCGAGGTTTCGGTAAGGAGACTAGACGCGGTAGATTCGTCATCCAAAGCTAGTGTCAGTTTGGAGCTGTTGGAAGGTGATTTGCTTGGCAGGTTGGGGGTGGCGGAGGGTTTCACTGCTGTCAAAAGGTTGGCGCGTTCAGCAATGGGACTGATGGTGGCCATGGTGCTCTCGGAGTCGTTTCGAGGATCATTGTGACTACGCTGCCCGATATTTTCTGTTCCCGAGTGGCTGACGTCTACTTCACCGCTTTTGCCTCTGGTCCCTCTGGCGAGTACTTCCCTTGGCCGCTCAACATTGTCGTCATTGTTATGGTCTATGACGCCGGCCAATACGGGGGCAACTAGAAGTGGTAGGTGGGCTAAAATCTTGGAAATAAGCATGGCGTCTTTGGAATCAGGAATCTTGGGTGGAATGCGAGTGGTGGGTGGATGGCAACTTGGAGCAGCATTGTGGGACTTTATGTTGTGAAATCACTGATGGGCATAACATAGGGAAAGAACATGATTGCCCCTAGGAAGAAAAGTAAAAAGAAAACAGGTGACGCAACACACGCCTTAGCGCCTTCAGATGCCTTTACCTTTATTCCCTTGCGTCCTTGAAAGTCGTTTTCGGCGGTGCTTTGCCCCTAAAAACCAAAGTAAAAGAAAATAGGTAACTCAGAGCACGTTGCTGCTTCAGGTTCCTTTATATTTGTTCCCTTGCGTCTCTTGGATTTGGTCTCTTTGGCGGCTATTGAGTGATTTGCCACTCTCATGTTCAAGTGCAGTCAAATCACCCGCCGTCAGGGAGACCAGAGTGAGCAGAGTAAGGCTATCGCTTGGCAAAGAGACATGTTTTGTCTCGTATTATCGTTTCTTCCTGTAAGTTACTATCCGTTCGTAACCTATTTCTTTTTCATCTACCACTATGATTGCATCCCTGTCAGATCATCTGACGGAGTAGTATTCGATGTCCCGTTGATATAAAAATCGTTCTATCCGAAGTTACTTAGCGTCGGACGTGTGGGCTGGTTGATTGGGTCTCAACACAGCCTGCATGAGGCATACTCGTACCCTGGGCCGTCAAGCTGCACAGCCACAGCCTGATGTATTGCCTTGGAATTCTCCCCTTAATATTTCAGTCATACTTCAGATGCCTTTTGAAAAGCATAACCAGTCATCTTGAGACGAAAACGCCAACGCTGGATTCAGTTTTCATCCGAGCCATGTCTCATTCGAATAAGCGACCAAGGCTACTAGAGCCACCCGGCTATGATCAGTCTTCCACCGCTCCTATCAGCAACCATGCCACCATTACGTCAAGATGGCCTGCTGCCTGGGAGCCTCCAGAAACCGTGGTGAACCACAGTCATAGATGGCCTGAGGGAGTTCACGAAGCGGATGGTCCCTGGAGATATCCCGCCCATGCCAACACCAACCCCGGGTCTCGGCTTAGTTCTTACCAAGATCATCACATCCGCTTGCCCCCCTTGCCCCAGCATGGATGGCGAATGGGTCAGCTGCAAGCGCGTCTCCCGTCCATTGGAGAAGCCACCACGACATCTTTGTCTGCTCCCGCGACTACGTACGACAATGGGGCCCAAGGAAGACCTGTTACCGCAATGTTCCTGCCACCCGGTTTGGAAACGCCGCAGACCCCTGTTCATCTTGTCTCCTACAGTCAAAATACCTATCCGGGGGCTCTCAATTTACCAGTCATACAAGCTCCTGTAATGACAACTCCAATTCTGCATCCAATTCCTGCAATGCTTCCAGGACCACCATTCACATGTTCCAATCCGGTAGTCCCGACACTGCCAGCTCTAAAGTGGCTTCCCGCAACAACACCAGAGCCAATACTCCAAAATCCAGTCTTGCAAGCTCCGGTGTTGCCGGAAAGCTTCCAAGGGCATACTCCACTTCCCGACAAGACAAGTCACCCAAAGACGCAGGAAATTGCTCCCTATGATAACAAGGCGGAATCATGTAACCTGGAGTCTGGCGTGGTATGCTTTGGCATGATAAGTCATTTCATCCAATCTTCTGAGTTCTTTCATCCAGATGTTCATGCTGACGACCTCCTTACAGTTTGTAGGCATTCCAGCGACATGCCGGTCGCATTCTTTGGTCAATGCATCGACATACGCAGTATAGCTCGATAGTCCAGGAACCTTCATTGGGACACAAGCTTCCAACTTGAACGGGGTTATCAGCTCTGACTTCACATATCTTACAACCGCTCTTTTGGAAGATAAGGATATAAAACTCCAGATCGTGTGCTCCATAACAGAAGATGCGCTCAAAATGGCAAACAGTGAAAAGCGTTTCCGCGGGCTGAATCTTACAACGAAATGCTCGTTGGAAATTATCTCTATGGGCAAGGCAGCCATTCCGACGACATTTCGTTATTTATCGACCAGTGTAACGAACTTCTCGAGGACCAACCCAAGTTGTATCTCCAGGACCCAGTTGGGTGCGACCGGAATGTGCCATACTGCAACCCTCAACGTTTACCCCCACTGGATCCGACGACCTATCCGCATACGCTAGATCTGGAACAAAAGCGTCAAAGCTTTGTGGAACTGGAAGATCTTGAGCCGCCACCGGAATTGCTGGAGCTTTTGGACTCCCAAGAAGACTTGCCAGAAGCTCTGCAGCCACCGGCGATAGCAACACCGTTGAAAAGGTATGTTAGAAATATTTTACTCTCTGTTGTTTAAAATAAAGTTTGAATGACTGAAATCTTCTCTTTTCAAAGACACCAGAAGCAAGCATTGACGTTCATGTTGCGACGAGAACAAGGTTGGGCGTTTGACGGAACGAGACCCGAAATCTGGGAAGCAGAAGAAACAGAGATTGGAATACGGTATTTCTCTTTGCACAAATATTTGTACACGCTGTTTCTAATAGTCATGAAGGTTTGCCAACCGAATTTCGGGCACCCGCCAAGCACAAGAACCTCCTGCCTTTTACGGCGGGATCATTGCGGATCCGATGGGCTTCGGCAAAACGCTTGCAATGATTACTCTTGTTGCTTCGGATTCTTACAATACTGCACTAAGTGACGCACCCAAGCTGTCTGGAGTCTTGGGAGAGGATTCTTGTGGCTTGACGTTGATTGTCGTCCCACCAGCTCGTATGTATCGTCGACATGCTCGAGGGGCTAACGCTAACTAGTATGCAGTGCTTGGAACATGGGAGGAAGAGCTATATAGACATACAGAGCCTCAGAGATTGCCATGGCACCTATACCGTGGAAAGAATCGCCAAAGGCAGACCGAAAAACTCGTAAACATGACGATACTTTTGACAACTTACCACACAGTATCCACGGAGTGGCGCACTGGTGCTGGTCACGCGTCTTCGATTCTGTTCACGACCCGGTGGAGGCGAGTTATACTGGATGAAGGTATAGTATTGTCGATATATACACCATGAACATACTAACTTACACTTCTAGCACACTATATCCGCAATAGTTACTCAAAAATGGCTAGCGCCGTGTGTGCTATTGATTCCGTCTCACGTTGGGCTGTCCTTGGCACTCCGATTCAAAACCATCTCAACGATCTGGCCACCCTCCTCAAATTCCTGAGTGTCTATCCCTATAACCATAAAAGGGTTTTCGACGCGGATATATCGCATATGTGGAAGGCCGGTAACGACTTCGAGGCAGTCAAGAGACTAAAACGTTTGGCCGGCTGCCTGTTGCTCCGACGGCCCAGGAAAACGGTCGAGTTACCACCGAGACACGATCGGGCGTGTTACGTTGAGTTCCAACCTGATGAAAGAGAGCTCTACAACCAGATCAGATCCCAAACTATTGCCCAGATTGACCGTGTCTTGCTCCAAGGCAATCACGATAAAGGAGCGCCGTCTACATTTACCGTCTTACAGCAGATCGTCGGGATGAGGTTGGTGTGCAACCTTGGACTGTTCTACCCAAGCAGGCATGATACCTCAGCCTTGGCTACAAATAAGCCCACGACGAAAGATTGGAACCAGGCGGCACAAAGTGAATTCAACTTCCGGTTCAACGAGATGGGTAGTATTCATTGCCATCTTTGCGCTTTTACGCTGGACGCCGCCTATACTCCTCTTGATGATCCAGGGGCTACAAATTCTTCCTTTTCACGATGCTCGAAATTCTTCTGTCCAAGCTGCGTTCGAGCAGCAGCTCGCGATATTAACACAAGCAAATGCGGACATAACCCGCCCTGTCCAATAGCTTCCGTGTCGACAAGTGCGGCCAGCTTGGAGACCATACCCATCTCGATGTCAATCGAACAGATCGCAGGATCAGGGTATCTCCCTACCAAAGTGGCCGCCCTAATAGAAGGTCTTCAAGCAACACCAAGCGATGTCAAGTGGTACGTCACACCAACCAACAATACGCTACTACTGATGGAGCTAATGTGTCGTTAGTGTTGTGTTCTCAACCTGTACGATGACTCTCGATGTCGTTGAGGTAGGGCTTGGCCAAGTTGGCATTTCAGTGCTTCGCTATGATGGCAAGGTGCCACACAAGGAAAGACAGAGAGTTGTCGAGAGATTCCGCAATGACCCGTCAATACGTGTGCTGTTGCTTACCCTTTCCTGCGGTGCTGTTGGGTAATTCAAACAGTCCCCGCACATGGTCATGTTTCTGACAGCTGACATATGGCAAATATAGGCTGAATCTAACTGCTGCTTCGCGGGCATACTTGATGGAACCAAACTGGTAGGTACATGTGTGAACTAGAGTCCCATGAGAGTCCTATACTCATCGCCCATTGCAGGAATCCAACCCTTCAAGACCAGGCACTGGCAAGGATCCACAGGATGGGACAAGAAAATGAAGTCACTACAATACAATTCTATATACGTGATTCTTTTGAAGAGGTAGGTCAGCTTCATCAACCAAAGTAACTTGTCGTGCCTCCTAGTTTAATACTGGGTACATAGGTTGTTGTTAAAAATCAGAAACTCAAGAGGGAGCTTGCAGGCATTTTGCTTGCACAGGGTAGGACAGAAGCCAATGAACTGGGACATCTAGAGGTAAATGAATTCTGACCCTAATGATAACTCCAGGTGATCTCGTCATGATCACGAGTCTCTCCACACTTCTATTCAACTACCAGCATACGGTTAAGGAGTTGCTGCAGCTTTTCAGCCACCCGGGTGCTAGCTTCCGGGAACTGGAAAGGTTCAAGTAAGACTTTCGCTGCTCAGCATTCACTTGCAGGCTCTGGTCTTGTCCACTGGCAAGCACTGGGTTTGAGAGCGAAAATCTCCGAAATGATCACGAAAAGGTTCATGAACCTCGAGTTTCGTGCAAGGTGCTCGGCTGTCAGTATCCTCCGTTCGCCTCCGCCTCGGCTTTGAGGAAACATCATTCCAAAGAACACACCAAAGGTGCTCCCATGTTCAGAATCCGAGCGCCGAATTCGAGAAAGTCCCCATTCGTTCCAAAACAAAAAGCCTCTCCCTCTCAACGTCAATATCAAGAGCCTATTGTGGATTCGAGTCATACGTCAGCTGCAGCTCCGACCGATTTTGATGACAAGACGCTCGTGAACTTGGATTTCCATTGTGCCAGTTTCAAAGACAGGTACTATGGTGATGACTGGTTCGCGGTTTCTAATCCATCCCTGTCTCCTAAATTGGACATCAGTCTTGTCCACGCTATGAATCATGACGATGTAGTTGTCTGCGTTCGCTTTAGCTTTGACGGCAAGTACATTGCTACGGGCACTTATCTTACAACTCACATCTACAACGTCGAAACTGGCGAGCAGCTTGCTGTCTTCGAGGATCGTGAAGATGATGATTCTGAAATCATTTATGATAGAGATGTGTGTTTTACCCCAGACAACAAGTACCTCGTTACCAACGGCAAGCATGTTCTGATTTATGTAAGTTGAAGCGAGGTAGACCTCTCGCCGAGGGTGCCTGTCCCAGTTTCCCACGCAGATCTAACCAGAATTTCAGGTCTATGACATCCGAAGCAAAAAAGTCGTCAACCGTTTCTCGGGACATACCAATAGTATTTATTCTGTGGATGTTTCAAGAGACGGGCGCATACTGGCGTCTGGAGGTTCCGACCGTACTGTTCGTCTTTGGAATCTTCAGGGCGAAGCTCCCAACATGACGCTTATTGCACAGGATGGCGTTCTTTGTGTGGCTATTTGTCCTAACTCGAGATTTATTGCCGCTAGCTGCCTTAACAACATTCATATTTGGGAACTAGCTACGGGGAACATGGTGGCGCATCTGAAAGGACACCTTAGCCTTGTCAATTCTATCGCCTTCGCAGGGGGCGTATCGGAGCTTGTCAGCGGCGCCTACGATAAGACGGTAAAGGTTTGGAAACTCGATCTCACAGGCCGAGGGGAAAGTCGATGCATCAAGAGTTTCAAAGGACACTCGGTAAGAATGTTTTCCTTGCGCTATTGCTTCAAGTTGCTAATATATACATATAAATACAAGGATGACGTTTTATCGGTTGCTTCTACTTCAGATGAGGATTGGTTTCTTTCTGGCTCCCAGGATTGTACGGCACGTCTTTGGAGTCGCTCTACTGGTACGGTCGGATTGTCATTGACTGGTCACACGCAATCAGTCGTGGGTGTAGCTGCAAGCCCAATTGGTGGCTACTTTGCCACTGCGTCGCATGACAAGAAGGCAAGGATCTGGAAGTACAGTAGTGGAAGTTGATGGATGCATGCACCATCAACAAACCTCAAGACCTCAAAATCTAAGTTGTTTAGTGGTGAAATTTGCACCAGAAATGTACCTTGTTTGCTTGCCTACTGTAAGAGGCTAGCCTCTAGGCTTGTTTAAACTAGGGGTACCGTCAATTGACTATTCTTAGACGAAGAAAAGAAAGAAAGAGTTACAGCGATTTGTGCGTGCTTGGGCCTGATAGCTGCTCCAGCAAAGCCGGAGATCTCAAACGGGATTAGCCGGTGACACCTGCTCATCCTCTCCCCAGGCATCATCTGGCTGGCTTAAAACAGAAACTTTGAGGTGAGCAGCAAGGTACATCAATCAAAGCTGGACAATAGAGTGTAACGCCACGCGACCGTTCCAATTGACAAAACATCAACAGAATCGAACTTATTGTCAACCTAGTGGGTTACTTGGACTGTGGTATAGCATCACTGATATATCCACCAAGTCAATCGTTTTCTATCAATGGTTGTCTCTAAAGATAGGACGGTATCCCAGTTTCGCTTTGTGTAGACTTGTGTGACTGTGGCACTAGTTGTTGTCCCTGCGCTTTATGTCCGGGGAATCCGACTCCCTGGCCGCTATTCTTTGGAAATTAGGGGTTGCGTTTCTTTGCCTGCCGATAACTCGTCTTTCCCGAGCCATGAACACCAGACAGATCCCTTGCCTGGATTGGTCTGAATGAAGCAGAAAAACATTCGCCATTTCCCTCATTTCGACGCAAGATCATGCATCCGACTCTCGGTTAAGACAACTCCTTCTCCACAAAGATGCTTTCATTTCCCAAGGTGGCCTTGACTTCACGCATACGTGATATTGCCCTCGAATCAAAACGCAAGCGGTCTGAACAAAGGAGGACAAATCATTTCAGTAGAACCTACGAAGCCACAAAAGACCCCCTGGCATAATTCCTGTTAGGTGTGCTTTGGAAAGTGAGATATAGACATATATTAAGGGTCTTGACTTGCCTCTTAACAACACTAATCACCCTGAGTAAACACACTGTCGCCGTTGCCACACAAGGTCGGCCCCAGCCGTTGGACAACAAGCCAAAGGCTAATATCGAAAACTTCACTCATATAGTCAACGTGCTTCAAGGCGTATCCCGATGCGTCTCACCGCCACCCTCCTCACGTTAGCATCGGCCATCTCTGCCGCCCATGCGTTCTGCTACGCAGGCGGCAGGTCAGGAAACTACGGCGAGTGGTTGAAGGAAAAAGACATCACCGTAGACACCGAACGTCTTAGCTTCGCATGTACCAACCTGATAGGCCAGGGTTATGTGAAGTTCGGCCCTTTCGAGACGAGAAGGACTTGTATGCAACAGGACTTGCGTACCAAATGGGACTTTACCATCAAGGTGCGTCGTCGCAATAACTGTACCCGAGTATTTGCAACAGCCTTCTGATTGGCTTTTACACCTGTGGAATGGAGTTGACGAGCGGCACAGAGCATGGTCGACCCAGGTGGTAACGGCGAATCGAATTTATCAATGGAAAAGTGCATGGAGATTCTGGGAAAAGAGGCATACGGCTGTGCATACGGCGGGGAAACAGTGAAAGAGGCTTGGTTCGCCAGGTAAGCTCCAAAACATTTGACTCCATGGAGGCTATCTTGACTAACCAACGAGGCTCCGGCCTTGATTAGCGCTGATCCGAATTTCGGTAGCTGCATGGGCTGAGTTATACGAGCTCTCTACAGACCCATCTATCCCTGTTCATATCCAGACTATGCTGGTCTCCTCAGCTGTTTGGCAAGGAAAACGGCGCTGGGTACAACTTAGTCACCGACAACTTTGCCTTCTGATTCAGTCTAGGATTCCGATGAAATCATAGTCAGTTAGCAGCTGGGTGCCACAACTCCAACCGCAAAGCCCAAAAGCGGCTACCAAGTTATACTTCATATGCAAGTCTTACATCCGAGTTATTGTAGCACCACCAAGCTCCATTTGTGTTGTATAGTTCACAATGGTGTACCCGAATCCAAAGTAAAGGTACTCGAGTTCTTCATATTCGGTAAAGCGTCACTCAGATGACGAATCAACCTTGCGTATTACATGAGGAAAATCCGTAAAGCTGCCTCTCAGAGCTTACATTGCTCCAATATTTCCACTAGCTTCTCTTGGAGCCCCGATCGTTTTCGGTCAGGCGTCAGCATCCATTCAGCTCACTCACCGCCGCGGCATCGACTAGCAGCGACCATGTCGTATGCCCTTTCCGAAAGCCTCCCGGGCTTACGGTTGTACAAAGTACCCGGCTAGAATCGCTCGATAAATTGGATGAGTATCAGCCTGCACATGATTGGTTCTGTTTCGAAAAGCGCAAGGCACCAAGACGCCATGGATGGCTGAGCCCCTGTGTGCTTATTCCGCTTCTTCAATTTGAACCTACAAGCAGACATATCTTATGTCCTTTCCCGCCACGATGACGATGTTTCAGGCAGCAGACTATGGTCAGCAGTCCTGTTCAAGAGTTCCGATCGTGATTTGACGTGCCCTAGTCTTTTCAACTTGCGGCCTGGTTCGTATATCGAACGACAGTGAGCTTTTGAGGATTTGGTGTGGCATATCGTAATCAAACTCTCCGCATCTGTCACCACAACAAATATATAAGGTCCGTTCTGCCCGTCACGAATTTCACGTTTCTATATGCAATAAACAAACTACTACAACTTTCTAGTCGAAAAGATCTCATCAACATGTCTTCAGATGGAACTCGAGGCCCTGTTCTTGTCCGTGGCATCAGGCTGGACGACCCAGGTTTGCGAACACTCCATATTCACTTCGTACCTCGCCACTGACTTGTCAAAGCCAACCCACCTGTGCGTATGGAGGTGCGGGATATGATCAAGGACCACCCCGATCAGTGGAACTTGTTTCTTCTAGGCATGGAGAGATTCCAGAATTCAGGCGACGAGACAATGCCGCTTTCGTGGTTTGAGATTGCTGGTCAGTGTCGTCCATACAGCACCTAGGATGCATTCTGACAGTAGCAGGCATCCACGGGCTGCCGTACAAGAAATGGCCAGACAGGAGTTGGAACGACAAGATGGTCCGAGTCGACAACGAGTTTGGCGGGTTCTGTACCCACAGCTCGATCTTGTTCCTTACTTGGCACCGTCCGTATCTCGCCCTGTTCGAGGTCAGTCTCAACCTGTCCCTTCCGATACAAGTATTAACGGGGCCTAGGCCGAGCTCTACAAGCATGTGAACGCCGTTGCCAACGAGTTCGAGGAGAGTGAGCGCAAGGCCGACTATGTCAAGGCTGCCAAGGACTTCAGGATGCCCTATTGGGACTGGGCTCGCCCTGACCTCGGCGTCTTTCCCATCCAGGCGACCTCCCAAGCCCGAGTCCGAGTCAAGCGTCCTCGTGGCAAGCAGCGAGATACCCTTCTCAACCCGAATCCTCTGGCATCGTACAAGTTCGGCGAGGCATCGAAAGGTGATGAGAGTATCAACACGGTGAATATCTCTTCGGATAGTGCCGCGTGTATCATTTATCTGACTACAATCACTAGTTTCCGAGAATCGGTGCCACCGTCCGCTACCCGGGTCAGCCCAACAACAACGAGCTCATGGAGCAACTGACCAGCTTCTTTGTGGGAACAGCCCCGTCGTCTCGAGGCAAGAACTTGACGGAACGCGTCGTATTCATCCTCCAGTCCTACCGCGACTTTGGGGCAGCCTCGCACAATCGGTTCAACCCACCGAGGGAGCCGGGACAGCCCAACTTCTCCGAATGGGGTAGTATCGAGGACATCCACAACGCCATACACAACTACAGCGGGGGCGGGGGCCACATGAGCGACCCGGCAATCGCCGCGTTCGACCCCATCTTCTGGCTTCATCACGCCAACATTGACCGTCTGTTTGCCATCTGGCAAGCTTGCCACGACGACCCCAGCAACCCATCCACCTATGTCACCGACCAGACCGCGGGCACCGGCCCGGTCGGGGGCAACTTCTTCGTCAAAGCCGGCGACCCCGAGACAATTAAGACCCCTCTGGCCCCCTTTGCCGAGTCCGCCACCGGGAGCAACCAGGAGTTCTGGACGTCCGAGGGCGTGAGGTACACGACCGCGTTCGGGTACGTCTACCCGGAAACGCAAAAGTCAAAGTTCCCCAACAGGGAGGCCGTCCTCAACGAGCTCGACCGCCTGTACGGGAGGAACGCGTCGCTGGCCAACATCCTGAGGGGCGACGACGAGGACTTCCAAGCCGCTTCCGAGGAGCTGCGTTCCCGCGCAAAGGCCCACCTGAAGGCCGAGAAACCGTCATCTGACGCTGCCGCCGTTGCACAGGTCGCGGACCAAGCCGGGCAGAAGCCGTTGCCCGACGCTCACGGGTCAGCCGACATCAAGCTCCCGGAGGGTCGCGACCTGAAAAACTTGGCCGGGCCAGACAACAAGTACCTCGAGTGGCTCGTCGACATCAAGGCCGAGAAGGCCGAGCTGGGCGGCAACTACGTCGTCCACGTCTTCTTGGGCGACCCCGACGACGAGACCCCTCTCCTCTACGTCACGAACCACTCGCACGTGGGCGCCTTTGCAACCTTCGGCCAGAACGAGGGCACGGCTTGCCGCAACTGCCAGGAGGGACGCGCGGCGGGCCAGAAGATCACCGGCCAGATCCCGCTCACTATCGCCCTGGCGGAGCGGTACGTCGCCGGCTTGGTCGAGAGCCTGGCGCCCGAGCACGTCATCCCCTACCTGCAGAAGAACCTGCACTGGCGCTTGGCGTTGTACAACGGCGAGCCGCAGCAGCGCAGCCGGCTGAACAACTTGCTGGTCAGTGTCGTCAGCAACGAGGTGACGGTCCCGGAAAGCCCTACAGGCCTCCCGCAGTATGCCGACGAGGTGGTTCCCCATCCCGAGGCTACTACCAAGCGCAACGGAGGCGGCCGTGGAGATGGCACAGGATACAACGGCACGAACTTCTAGTTGGCCCACAGTAGTCTGTCTTAATGCAAACCGGGTTTCGGTATGCTGTACGGGCTTTATGGTGGTTCAGATATTCGTAGCAGCCATCAAAGATTATCACATTTGTTTTCAACTTGAATAGAAGTTTCAACCTGATTTGCCGACCCTGTACTCGTGTCAACTGACATCACTTGTCTATCTCTCCAACGAGCCGAGGTAGAAGACACAAAGAGAAGAGATAGAAGGGAATCAGAACCAAATGTAAACCTCCAACAATTTGGAACCCATACGAGGCGATGTGCTTCCCAGATCCCCGATTCCGGGCTGTCCCAAGGTCACTAATTACCGAATATCTCGATCGACGCTACATGTGCTTTGGATATTAAGGGACAGATACGCCACAGGGACCAAGCAATTCATTCAAGTGCCTCGCTGTTTCATTACCATTGGGCAGATACCCGATACCTGTATCCTAAAGCCCATGACCCTAGATTAGGGACTCGAAATAGGATCACAATCCCTAGCCTACTTTCTGTCCTTACCTCGTGCAAACCTGATTTCTTGACAGCGCGTTCCAAATGGCGCCCCCCGGTTCACAGAGACCGCACAAAAGACATGCCGGTTCCCACCGGAGAGACGTTGGAAGAGGACTTAGACTCTAGTAACGGGAGGTGCCTCCCCCAGCAGTCCAACCACGTATAGAACAACACACAACATGGTGAGGAACTTGATCAGAGATGCTACTTGGCCAACGACCGGATCACACCAATGACAAAGTAACCGCGTCGTCAACCAGCCCTACCCTCTTCGTCTAAACGACACAGAACGAGCAATACACTACCACATGCGCCCTTCCCCTATCCAGGTCCTGCCATACGCCAGGGCCACGCAATGCCCGATGAAGTGTGGCAGCTCCGGGTGGGCCCATCGGCCCGCGTAGTTGGCTACGGCCATGCAAGGCAAGGCGTCAGCGCGGAAAGCTCACCTTTGCACCCTCCGCTCGAGCAAGCTTTCAACATTTGCCGACACTGAGGGGGAAGGCCATTGGCGAGACCGCCTGCAGTGCGTATACGACGAACGCGACGGTATGCCAAGGCAATGACGGGAGCGAGTTTCAGCACACAACGCGGAGATGCCAATACAACGCAGGTCTCCCACGAGCAAACTGGAAACAGGTTGAAAATGCCCAGTCATACGATGGTTTGTTTGCCGATTCTACGAAAAAGCTCAATTCCTCAGACGGCAAGTTGAACGTGCCAGCACGGCATGGTGCCGACTGGCCAAGGCGACATTGATACGACGGCCGGATACCTACGCACGTGGGGGTCTAAGTACAGCGTTGCAGTGTTCGAGACCCGATATTGGAAGGGGGGTACAATCTCGGTTCCGGTGACCGCTTCCCATCGAGATGCCCTCCGTCGATGCCCTCTTCGAGGGTTCTACTACTTCCCAAGAACCACACCTGGCACACGGCCGTGGATCAGCATCCTTGCGGCCCGGCCGCCACGCGTAGGGAAAGAAGAAAGCCCTACGGATACACCGCACCAGAAAAAGAAAAGCAAAGCATGGCATAACAAAAATTACCAAAAAAAAAAAACCCCCCATAACAACTTTTAAGATGATGTAGCATCATCCGGGTGCACCGGATCCAGCTCTCCAGGGTTCAGGGAACCAACCCTAAAGCCCCGGTGAACCGGTTCCTGGGACTTTCGAGTTCGATATAAGGCGGCGGGTGAGGGTTTCCAGACGAGACCACATGGGAGATCTTTGGCCTCTCGTTGGACAGAAGCCCCCAGCGAGGGTCAATGCAGCCCTGCGCGGCCGCCTGGGAAGATCATCTCAGATTCCGGAACCGAAGCAAGTGGTGAACTAGGGGATCTCCGCAGCTGCCGGGGGGGTGCATGTGGCCGTGTAACTGGGATGAGAGGTTCCATGGCAGAAAAGAAGAGCAAAAAAAAAGAAAAAGTAAAAATGAAGAACACAACTCGTACGACGCTGGCGTTGCTTCGAGTGGAAGAGGTAAAAAAAAAAAGGGGGGTGGGAAAAGCTCCTGTGCGGTTGCAGAAGCCGGGTCGTGCTCCCCGGGTTTCAGAGCGATCGCTAGGCACATCGAGGTTCAGGAACACGGTGAAAGCTGCTGCGCCACATTGATAGTCCGGGGAAGGCGACAGGGTTTCCGGCAGAGCCTCAGGGAGTGGGGAGGAGGCGGGTATTAGAAAGGTGATTAGAACGATGTGTCAAGGTGCCCGCACTCACGAGCGATGGCTCCCTCACGTGTGTGAATGATAGGGCAGCCCAGAAGGTGGTTTGGATGGCACGGACTGGCCAAACCCTTCCTGAACAGCAAATTAGACAGATACCCCCCTAAGATGCGGTGGTTCATCAGTAGAATAGGTACACTACATACAAAGAGGACCTAATACAACATTGGAACAGGTGAGGCCTCTTGATGTTATCACGCCCTGGAGTGCTGAGAAAGTCACGTAACACGTCGAAAGCACGCAATATTGCGTACGGCACGGCAAGCACCCGCCGATTATCTACATAGTGTAGAGTTCAGAGAGACAACAAATCGGGTGGAGGAGCCTGGGGGTGGGTTGGGCTGCCAGTTCTGGCGAGCACGTTGTTAATTGATTGGCGGCGATAGGCCAACAGGGGGTCATTCGGGTATGGGAAATTGAGAACTGAGCTTGGCGCAAGCTTATTACTCAAGAACTTCAGAGCTGGGAAAATAGGACCCCATGGAGCTATGTAGAGAGCAGCATCTGGGTAAATATTATGAGACGTGTCAGGAACACCGTCCCGTCTAGACTTCTTTTGGCGGCGAAGCTATTCCGTTGACCGAATAAGACAAGGTGTGTTGCATTCGCCGGGGCCGGCGAGGCTAACCTCGCAGATTTGATCTGCAGCTAACAAATATAGTGGGTGAGGTCAAGAAGATGTCAATGGTCGGACGGGACTGTTTGCGGCCTTGTTTCCAGGTCTGTCTTACGCCGTCCATTGACCGGTTTGTGACAATTCACCGATGTGATGTTGTGGAACAAACGCACCCAGTTGTCCACTGTATCGGGTTGGACCAGCAATAGTGGTGACGACACCTGCATGGTTGATGAGACGGCAACGTGTCCATGAGTCGGACACTCTGGCGCTGGCCACTGTCGCTCTTATCATGCCGATTGGCAGCGTCGGGCTCAGAGATATGCCACAACCGCGCATGGATCCAGGCGACGTGCCGGCCAGTGCAACACACCCACTCGAGCAGAATTTCCAGCTATTCGCTCTACGCGGATGACGGATGGAACCGTCTTCAGCGCCATGTCAGAAACAACCGGGTAAACAAGCGACGAGGAGCGCGAGCAGCCCTGCAACGCTAGCCAGTGGCCGAAGGAGTGGCCCGCTCCGACGAGGTGCGGCACCCTGGGAGCGTCAAAAAGGGGGGGTCCGACGATAAGGACGATAGAGGACCCCGCCAGTAAGTCAACGCTATTTCTGGCACTGGCTAGGGACTACTGATGATGGGCGGATGTGAGAGACGGAGGGTTCGGCCATTGAGACGACAAATCGACTTCTTTCAGCTGGCGGTCGATTGATGTCGCGTCGTCGTAGGATTCGTCTGATACATGAAATTCCAGCCGACGAGACACTGGAAACTGTCGGTTTTCGGATGGGCCTGTAAGAAGTCGATGAAGGACAACGTGCTCTCAACAAGAGTTTCGGGATCAAAGGCCTGGCGCTTGGTCGCGTTGTCGTCGCCGGTCAATGGGAGAGGCACTACTGCAGTTGGGTGCGGTGTCGGTGTACGGTATGTGCTTTCTGGTCTGAGATGCTGTTAGGCCGGGGAACGGGTCCGAAACTCTGTGCTGTGGATGTGCATACCCATCGATTCAGTGAAGCTGCCTACATCATGGCGGGAACCAAGTTCACTGTAGTGCTCAGTACAGTACCGGGTAGGTAGTCATGTAAACCCTTAGTGCACGGATACCGGCAGTCGGTCGGCTTGGGGCCAAGCTAACTAACGATGTTTGGGATGGTCAATTAGGTAATGGCCGTTCTCGTGACTAGAAGACATGAGACCCAGTGGCGGGCTGCGAAGAGGTTGAGCGACGCTGGTGGAGGATCTACAAGGTAGGCCGGCAGGCAAGATGCGAGCAAGAGGCCACGGTCAGCCTGTTGGCGTCCCTAACGGCTGGAGGGACCAAGGTCTGGGGCCCCGAGGGCCCCTTGCGAGTCGGGTCGGGACAGCTTCTGGCCGGACTTTGGCATTCGGCCCCAAGACAATCTAGGCAAGGGTTCTGGGGGCTAGCAAAGGTCTGCCATGGCCTTGGTGCTGGTGAGGGCGGCCCAGGACTCGATGGGCGCCGGACGACGGACTGGGGCGATTGGGAGGCTTCGGGAGCCAGGGTAGCAATCCCGAGGACGGCGTCACATACCGTACAAGCGGGGTTTGGACGAAAGTGCTGTTAGGTCGATACCGGCAGCCACTGGGGTTGGGCAGGGGACGTCCGCAGGCGTGGGAACGAGAACGACGGGGGGAGGGATGGCCTTGTTTCGATTTGCGCAATGCCAAACCGATGGGAGCTGAGGCGAGGGTGGGTGTCTGCGGCGATGCGATGCGATGCAATGCGATGTATCCGTAGTGCAGTATTTACGGTTCAGGATGAATGAAGGGGCGCGCTGGCATATGTGTATATATTTGGCTGTTTGGCTGGATAGTTGAGTCGGTCAGTCGGACACTTGGCGTACTTTCCCTATCTAGCCACTTTGCACTTCCTACTTGCTGAGCAGCTTGCTAATGGCAGGCAACGTTAGCGAGAAGTCATGTACTCGATGTCGATGAAAGAAGGCGTGATTTTGGGTTGGAGTCTCGGGAATCCGTTTCGGCCGGCGTTGGTGTTGGAGGCGGTGCAGTCGTCAGATTGTCGAGTGACGCCCGCTGCAACGCCCAAAGAAGAAGGGATGGAATGGAATGCGGTAGTTTTGGTGGTTCCTTCCCACGATTGTTCATCTCCCAGGGGCAGGTACTTTCTAGTGTACACGTGGGAGTTCACAAGTAACTCGCCATGCATTTAATAGGGATAGGTACATGGCGCGTATCTTCCTCAATCGCATGTAGGTACCTCTTCCCTCGTGCCCCAAGCATCCATCCCTGCACGCTACGTCCACTCCTCTACTGATAGGTAGCAGCTTCAGAGAGGGAGAGAGGGAAATTGGGACCTCTTCCTTCCTTCCCTCTAGACTCGCGCTTGCGATAACGACGGTAATACCCGATCGATGAGCAACGACTGTTCCACATATGTATCTTGCACCCGAGATTTACCATTCAGATGCATCTCACTACCTAGATACACCTACCTTATGTAAGTCGACCAAGGTAGATTCGACCTCCCAAGACTTGCCTTGCCCCTCATTCGCATTCCCCCCTCATCCATATGTTGCGCTGTCTCAGTCAGGGAGATTCGGACGCTCTTGTCATCATGTCATCTCCTTCCATTGTCTGTAGATTCGGGCATCTTTCGAGATGCAGAGACCCAGGCGGCCCAATGACTCTGACATAAACGCACGTACGGATACAATGTACGTGTACGTCCATGTACAGCACAGGCCACCATAGGAAGCCCACACAAGGTGTCCTTCGTGCCCACACAAAGTCCACACTGCCCACCGCTCACAGACGGAGTTCGCGTCGCATGGAAGCGCATCGCATCGGCTGCTTCCCTCGTGCCTGTTCCTTTTCTTTTTCTTCTTCTGTTTGTACTGCATTCCTTCTTCATGTCTTTGGCAATGCAGTGCAGGTGTAGATACGACCGGTAGGTAATGTATAGGCATTGCGAATCATCACCGACTACATGGCTTTTCCGTGGTTCCGGTAAATCAATGGAAACAAAAGAATCAAATACAATAAAATAAAATGTAATCGGGCTGCATTTACAAACACTTGGACCGAGCCTAACCTAAACTCTGGCACCGTACGAATACAGCCCAGATATCCTCTCTCTCTCTCTCTCTCTCCCTCTCTCTCTCTCTCTCTCTCCCTCTCTCTCTCTCTCTCTCTCTCCCTCTCTCTCTCCCTCTCTCTCTTCCTCTCTTCCTCTCTTCCTCCTTCTCCCGCCCTCTTTCTCTCCACCCCCTCCGGTCCCGGTCCCAGTCCTCCCTCCCTTAGTGTCTCCGCAGATTAGGTACTAGTAAACAGGTACCTGCCAAGGTGTAGTGTACAGAGTGTACTCCGTAGTACGGATACAATACAGGGCTCTGCTCCAATCCCACACCGCCCGCCCACTTTCTCTCTTTCCTCCCCACGCATGTGTGCGTCGCCGTGACGTTCCTTCTCCTCCTCCCCGATTCTCGTTCCTCAGTAAATCTCCCATCCACACACATTTGCGCACACTTCACAGACGCAACCCACGTCTACGCCGCTCGACATCCCTACGATCCCCCCCCCTTTTCCGCCCCAAACAACTGGCGACCAATCCTCCAAACCGTCCTGAGTCTCGCCAGATGTTTCCCTCATGTCCAGCCCGCCTCGCAACGCCCGAAATGCCGCACCCGCGACCCTGGTGAGCCCCGCGCATTCGTCGTCGACGTTGTCGTCCTCGCCCATTCCCACTACCACTCCTTCCACCACCACCACCACTACCACCACAATCATCACCACCACTGCTTCCGCCCCCGTCTCCAGCTCCGCGCCCTGTGGGAGTGACTCCCCGTCCGACCCAGCTGCTGCTTCCATCGCTGGTGCTGACGCGCCTGTCCCAGATCCTGGAGCTGGATCGGATGCTGCCGTTGCCGCTGCCGCTGCCGCTGCCGCTGCCCAGCGAGAGCATCAGCAGCGACTGCCTCTGCCCTCATCCCTCCCGCCCTCTCTTCGAGACACCCCCCTGGCCCAAGCTGCAGATCTACCCCCTGCCACGGCTGCTGTCACCCAGCACCAGCAGGATACCTCGAGCCATGTCGACCCGAATACTAAAAAGCCCCGAGGCCCTGCCGCCCTCCCGAGGCAGTCCGGTCCGTCCTTGCTAACCCAAGCACTCGCCTCAGCTCGCGGCATCCCTTCGAGATCAAATTCCCACCAAGATCAACCACTCCAACCGCATGCACAGCCCTCGTCCTCGTCCTCATCATCGTCATCGTCCTCTTCGCGCCCCCTGTCCTCTGCCGCCTCCGACAACCTTCCCAACAATCCCTCCGCCACTGCTGGCCTGGACCCTATCGCCCGAGATACTCGCAATGCCCTCTTTCTTCCTGGCCATGGCGCCTCAGTAACCCTTCCAAGCGCCCCCCAGCCCGCCTCCATACCATCACTTGAACCCGCCGACTCGACCGACGCTAATAACCCCCCCGACGCCGACATGGAGGTTATGCCTTCCCCCACCTACGACATCTCCAGCTTCCAGGGTATCAGAGCTATGCTGCTGGACCACAGGGACTTTCTCAAGGGTACGCGGTCGCGGGGCAGGGGCTCGTCGTTGGAGCGCGTCGACCCGGAGTCCAGAGTAGCAGGACGCCTGCGCAACACGCGCGCCCACTCGCATTCCACAAGTCCTGAAGATTCCTTCATCCCCCCGGTCCGCTCCCTGGACCAGAAACTCGACAAGGACGTTGCCGTGCCAGAAGGACGGCCCAAGAAGCTCGAGCAGCGCTTCTCCGTTGGGCCCGAAAAGATATGGTCAATCGGCTCAAGCGAGGCCATTGATGGCCAGGAGGATGGCCAGGTTGAGAAGTCGGTTCACGAGGCCATGATCGGCGCCGAACCAAACGCTCGCAGCCGCAAGGCTAGCTACAGCCTCCGCTTTTTCCGCGAGGGATTGCCCAAGGAGGAAAAGACGCCTGGCCGCAGAAAGGACACGCGCCCCAAGGAGAAACCCCCCCCGAGCCACGAACCTCAGGAGCCGTTATCCCTCGACATAGCTGTCGAGGACTTCGCCAAGGTCGCCAGTTCGCAGCCATCACCCAGGCTTCTCGACAAGAAGGACTGCTTGCCAAAACAGCTGGAACGAGTAAAGACCTTTCCTCTCCAGTCACCCCAGGCTGGCGAAACCCCCATTCTCACCGAATCGCCCACCCAAGATTATTTCGGTCTGAGAAAGGTCAATGGCGACATTTTCCACAAGGCGGACACCGAGGGCGCCAGACAAGCTGGAACTCAGGCCGAGTTCGAACCGGGGGGCTCTGAGGGCGATGTCTCGCCTCCTGCCGTCCAAGTGGCTCAGGCGGATGACTCTCGACGCCCGTCCACATGCAGCAGCGAACACGGTGAAAGCCACGAAGAGGGAGACGAGTCGAGCGAGGAAAAGATTTCCTCGGCAGTATTCGTACCGCATGCCGGCTTGGAAGAGGCCGCTGAGCGCGAGCGGGACGTGGCGAAGCCAAGACAGACGGCGGGCTCTCGCATCAGCTCCAGAGCCGAGGACTTTCACCCTTGGCTGGTCAAAGCCGACGAACCCGAGCCCGAGCCTGAGGATGAGAAGGCCTCTCCCGATCGTCCCCCCGACACCCCCTCGCAGAAAGCCAAGCCGAAGCGACTCCCCGATGAGCCGAATGTTACTCTTCGTGAGGTCCAGCCCAGCACCATTAACGATCTTCCCATTGAGGAAGAGCTGGACCCGCCGGGGACACAGCAGGTCCCCACCCATCTTGAGGAGCATACCCATCATCACCAAGCTGAGGAAAAACAACCTCTCGAGGCGATTGAGCTCATTCCCTACAAACATCAGGTCGGCGGCCATACCACACTATGGCGCTTCTCCAAGAGGGCCGTGTGCAAACAGCTTAACAACAGGGAGAATGAGTTTTATGAAAAGGTGGAGCAGGATCATCCGGACTTGCTGCCATTCCTCCCTCGGTACATTGGCGTGCTGAACGTCACGTTTCACAAGCAACCTAGGCGCAAGTCGACCCATAAGCGTGAGGATGCCCCTATGCTGGAGCGCAGGAAGACCGGGGACAGCGGGATAACGGTCTCGGCATCACCGTCCAAGTCCAACGCTGCCAGTGGCAACTCAAACGGCGCATCCCAAGCCAACACAGATCACCGCAGAATTATCAGCCAGTCACTGTCAAAAGCACCGGAGCCCATACCGACCGTGACTTTCGACGATAACTGGCACATTCTGCCAAGGAATCTACTTCAGCCCACGCCGCCCCCTACGGCTGCCTTGCCGGCCCGCGGCCGGAGCACCTCGTCCTCGGGTCTGCCTGATTACCCTGAGCAGGGCAAGTTTTCATCCCCCACAAGGCCCAGCTTGGATGAGAGACACGCCAACAGTTGGGGCGCGACGACTGTCAACAAGCGGCTGCGCAATGAGGTGTTCAACGACGTCTTCTTGAAGCAGCCGATCCCGATTTATAAGCACCGTAGACCTCACCAAAAGTCGATGGCTTTCCGGAAACAGCCGACCCTGCGGCCGGCCAGCTCTGTTCCCGACCTGGTGCGCAGGCAAGACGCGTCTGCCCAAGAAGGCCACGCGCCTCAGCGTTCCAGCCCGCTCCGACCAAGCAGCTCCTCGCCGCCCCCGACGGAAAGCATCCCAATGGACCGTCCTGACCGTCCTAGCCGCGCAGAGGCAGCAGAAGCCGAGGACAGCGACGTCAAAGATATGACTGGCACTAGTGCGCCGGAGCCGGAGACGCTGGCGGACAAGATCATCGCGCAGAAGAAGAAGCGGCGCTACTCTGGGACAGGGCTTCGACGGAAGCCACGAACAGTCACGGAGTCTAGAGGGCATCTCAAGTACTGGGAGGAGGCGGATGACGCTGGCTATAGAGGCGAGGACGAAGGCGGACAATTCCTTGGCACATCGCAAGTGAACTCGCCCATGATCGAAGCACCGAATGCGAATGGTGCGGGCTCTCGTGAAGGAGCCGCGACGGAACTGAGTCTTCCTGACTCTGCTACAGCTGCACTTGACACGGAAGCCTCGAACGGGGCTGAATATCATTCCACACATGCGTCGGTGGTGCCGTCCGAGATGCCCAGTCCCACTCCAGAGTTCCACAAAATTCCACGTCCCGTGAATCCCAAGGAAGCACAGACACAGCGGGACTCCCGTGTGGAGTACTTTCTTCTGCTGGAGGACCTCACAGCAGGCATGAAGCGACCATGCATCATGGACCTGAAGATGGGCACTAGACAGTACGGCGTCGAGGCCACGCCCAAGAAGCAAAAGTCGCAGCAAGGCAAGTGCGCCAGGACTACTTCGCGTGAACTTGGCGTGCGGGTGTGTGGACTTCAGGTCTGGGACGTCAAGAGCCAGTGCTACGTCTTCAAAGACAAGTACTTTGGGCGCGACCTCAAGGCTGGCCAAGAATTCCAGGACGCCTTGACGCGATTCCTCTACGACGGCGTCGACTACTCTAGCATCCTGCGACATATACCAACCATCCTACAGAAACTAGACCACCTCGAGTCGATTGTCAAGAAGCTGGACGGCTACCGCTTCTACGCCGCCAGCCTCCTCATGTTTTACGACGGTGACACGACGACCGAGGGTAACGAATACGATACAGTCGTTGACGATTCTACGACTGACTTTGCAACTGACACGGAAGAGACGTCCGCGTTGCGCGAAAGGAAAAGGCAAAGCAAGAAGCGCGGCATTGACTTTAAGATTGCCGATTTTGCAAACAGCCTTACCAAGGGTGACCTTGCCGAGGGGAAGCCATGTCCGCCTCAACACCCTAATGAGCCGGACCGTGGCTTCCTCCGAGGCCTTCGAACGTTGAGGAAGTATTTCTTAAAAATCCAGAAAGATACCCGGGCGGCCATGGGCCTGGACTGCCATGGACGCAGTAACAGAACGGATGTTGACGATATCGACATGGACCTCATCTCGGACGACGAGGGGCTCGTCAGCGAATGAATGGTTGGAGGTCGTGTCTCTTTCTTCACGTTGATAATTTGGGATTGTAATTCTGGATTGGGGAGGGAAACAAACAGCTGGCATGGAGAAACGGAACGGCGGAGTCAAGGATGTCATTTGACAACATACCCGGCATCAGTCTGGCGTCGCAGCACAAGATTACAAGGAAACTGAGATGTTTTGTATTTCACTTTTCTTCTCTGACGAGGCTTGGGTGGAGAAGGTAGCTTCGCCAGTATGGGCCGTGTCTTGGGTGAGTTCCGATGTTGTTGCCCAACCCAACATGGAAGGGATAGCTAGGTTTGACCACGTGACGAACGGGTGCAGCAGATTGGACTGAAGAAGTGAGTGGCACAGGCACAGGGGAGCCGGGTTGGTGATCAAGGCGTTGGTTTTGGTTAGATGTTAGACAAAAAGAATGAGTTTGTTCTAGATTTGCCTTCCTGTGGAATTTCTGTTTCACCAGTGCAGTCTCGGCACGGAACGACTGAACTCAACGTTTCCAAGGCTGTTCTTAGGGCTGCATACATAAACCAGGTGAGGTAAACAAGGATACACTAACACAGTTGGGTAAACAGATTATAAGCATAATGCCCAATATTCAACACGGTAATAGAAGGTTTCCAGATAGAAACACACTATACTATAAGCAGAATGCCCGATGTCCAAGACCATAATGAAACGTTTTTACAAATAGACAGAAACACAGGAGGAGCATCCAAACACGGATATCAGATGGTTCGATGGTGCCGAATCCCGGTCGCGCGGATCCGGGCGTGTTACATAATCGGCACCACATGCTCTGTACATACATACATCCTACCCTGGCTGCCTGGCCCTCCTAACGAACCACTTATCATAGCTCTCTCACATACGCTGCTCCAATTCATCCCCACTGCACCCACAACAACGCAACAGCAACACAGCAACATCGGCTTAACGTCCGCACCGCGTCGCGACTCGCCGATTTCAGTGGACACCCCCAACGACCACAATGGGCTCGGTCTTCTCCGCCATCCGCTCCGCGTCCAAGACCGTCGGGGCGGTGGTCAAGCTCCTCCTCGACCTAAACAGGCAATATCAGGCCCTGCTGGTGCGGGTCAACACGGCACCGGGCCTGCCGCATGAGAAACCCTCGAGCCCGTACTGGCTCGACGACCCACCCTTCCCGGAGCTGACGGACATGCGGTCCGAGATGCTGCCGCGGGAGGCCGACGTCGTCATCATCGGGAGCGGCCTCACCGGCGTGGCGGTCGCGAGGAGCTTGTTTGCCGCCGCACGGGGCGGCGGCGGCGGCGGCGGCGGCGACAACGGTGACGGCCCGAAGGTCGTCGTGCTCGAGGCGCGCTCACTTTGCGCGGGCGCCACGGGACGCAACGGGGGCCACCTGAAGGGGAGCCCGCACGAGCTGTTCCCGCGGCTGGCGCGACACTTTGGCAAGGAGGGAGCGGCGCGCCTGACGCGGTTCATGCTGCGCACCGCCGAGGCCGTGCAGGAGGTCGGTCAGGCGGAGGGGAAGGAGGTGGCGGAATGCAGGGCGGTCGAGACGGTCGACTTCTTCCTCGACGACGCGAGTTTCGAGGACGTGAAGAAGCAGTGCGAGGAGCTGCGCCGGTGGGTGCCCGAGTTTGAGGTCGAGGTGCTGGGGCGAGAGGAGACGCTGGCGAGGTTCGGGTGCGACAAGGGCCACGTCCGCGGGAGCCTGGTGTACGCGGCCGGTGCGCTCTGGCCGTACCGCCTCGTCACGGCGGTGTGGCGGGAGCTGCTGGACGCGCACGGCGGGCGGCTGAGCCTGGAGACGGGCACGGCCGTGGAGGCGGTCGCGCTGGACGCCGTGGGGGGCGACAAGGGCAGGCCGTACGTCGTGAGGACGTCGAGGGGGGCGATCCGGGCGCGCCACGTGGTCCACGCGACGAACGCGCACGCCGGGCAGTTCCTGACGGGCTTGCGGGGGAAGCTGACGGGCTTGAAGGGCCACATGACGGCACAACGGCCCGCGCCGGTGGATCCCGCGCACAACGGCCCCGGAGACGGCGGCAGCGGCGGGTTCCGATGGAAGGACGGGAGCGCTCCAGGGACCAGGTCGTGGAGCGTGCTGTACGGCGGGGGCTCGTTCGACTACGTCACGCAGCGGCCGAACGGGGATGTGATGCTGGGCGGCGGCTTCGAGCGGAGCGCGAGCGAGGGCGTGGACATGATTGGCGTGTGGGACGACTCGGGGACAGACGGGCTGACGATCGCGCACGTGTCGGGCGTGATGAATGCCGTGTTCGGGGCGAGGTGGAACGGGGACGTGATCCGGTCCTGGAGCGGGATCCTGGGGTTCACGGGGGACTTGGCGCCCTTTGTCGGGCGGGTCCCGGCCAGCCTGACCGGGGCGAATGCGACGCTCAACTCGTCGCTGGGGGCGGGCGGGATGAGGAGGGCGAAGACGCAAAAGGTTTTCGAGGATCTGGACGTGAAGGAGAGCGACGCGGCCGGGTGGAAGGGGGCCGAGGTCGGGGAGTGGGTCAGCGCCGGGTACAACGGCGACGGGATGGTGTGGGCGTGGCTCTGCGGCACGGCGCTCGGCGTCATGGTCGCGGGCAAGGAGCACGTCGTGCTGGAGAAGAGGGACGGGTTCCCCGGGGGTCGGCTGGCCGAATGGTTCCCCGCGGAGCTGCTGATCACCGAGGCGCGCGTCAAGAAGGCGGACCTGACCAACCTGGTGGACGAGATCATGTAATTGCGGAAAAGACGGGGTTCGTTTGGACCGGTTTGGGGCGGGCTGGAATATGCCTGGGCGTATTTCCCAATTGACAATAAGACCACAAGAATCTACAGAGAAGAAGAAAGAAGGAAAGAAGAAGAAGAAAAGAAGAAGAAAATAGGACTGGGAAGGGTGAGATGCGCGGTTGGGCAGGGAGTCTGTTTGATTAGTTGATGAGTCTCTTCCTGTGTGCAGAATATTACATGTTTATACTATCAAGAATGATCACGCCTGTTGTTTTCTTCTGGCGTTCCCATCCCGATATGATGCCGAGGGAAATACTCGAGGATGTGAGGGGGTTTCGGTCAGTTTTTGAGACATTTCGGATGCTCTTGAGGCATTCTACTACCATTTAGTAGCTCATCGCGTGCTCAATCGACAGCTATTAGAGGCTAGGAAAAGGCTTAGACATCACCTACGACACTGCTACAGTATTAACCTTAATAGTAGTACCACTATATACCAGAAAGCCATACGTCGTCTAAGAAACAGGGATGTACGGTAGTTACCAGGTAATAATTTACTAACTCAGCTTGACTGTGGGTAGTAAACAACATACCTACTAGGTGTAGTAATTTTGCTCTCGCGGGTAGTAGCTTAATAGTCTTAACAGCTCATCAGTTTTAAACCATCAACATTTATAATACATATACCATTGATACTAAGGCGACTCATGCTATAACGTCGAGACTATATCTAAAATGTGTATGTTCGATTCTTATGTTATAATTTATGTAGCTTTGCCGGCGCTCTTCGTCTCTTCAATCTGAAAAGCACTTCTAGCTTCAGCCAGACTTCTACTGGTTCTGTTAGTGGACCTAGTAAAACGACTACTGTAGTCGAGTATGTAATGTTCGTACTGAAACCCTTGATACGTTGTTACTTCGGTCTTCACCGCAAAAGCATTGCCTTGCTGCCCTCATATGGTTTCACTAGCATCGTTTTCTCTGGAAGTGTGTACGATTGCTCTGGAAAGCGTCCTTGATTAAAAACGGGAACAAACCCGTGAGAATGACTGATGACTAGGCTTGGAACAACCAGAAAGATTCTTAAATTATCAATGATAATAAAAGACTAGATCAGCAATGATTTTGGTCCACTATCAAGAGCCTACTTTGCTTCTTTTTTACTGTGGTTCAACCAAGTGATTACTGTGGCAACTGAAAAAAAAGCATAATAATCGAGAAAAGAAATCAGGTGATCGACCATCTGGTCTTATACCTCCGCCACTGGAAACATTGGTCTTAACAGGGCTTCTTTAAGCGGACGTTTGTGATCCCGCTGCCTTGGTACACTTTTCAACCTGGGAAGCGGCTAGAAGATATTAGGAGCAGTGAAGAGCATATTAGGAGCAGTGAAGAGCATTCCCCAATAAGGCATTCGGATTCTTTATTGTCCCTGCCTATACAAAAGGTGGTTTATTGGTAGAGTAGCCATTAAAATAGAACCGGCTAGATCCCAACTCGAATGGGCTGGTGTATATAGTGTGCTTGGCAGTTGACAAGGCACTGCCTGAGCTCAGCCCCTCCAGGTATAGTGCGCTGTTGCTGTAGCCACTGGTAGCTGACGGTGCGCCAAGGATCACCTACATAGGTTGGCAAGGTGGATTTCCATCCCTCTCTTATGCTTACCTTTAGGCAACATTTGAGTGTTCCTGTATCCTTGCAGATCATGCCCACTCATGATAATCATCCGTAGGATTTGACAGAATGCAAACCCTGCCAAGGGTAAACTGAACAGTTTGCGACCCTTGCCCGCATCGTCGAATCCCATGGGCAGTGCTGTCAAGAATTTGACCGCCAAGATCATATAAGCTTAGAAGACTGTTCAGATTCCAATTCTTGGCGTTTAAGATGTCGAAGAGGAGGGCGTAAGAATCTGTGAGGAGCATCGCCGAAGACTTTGCTGCTACTCTTCCAGTCGGCCGAAACTATAAGAAGGATAAGATTTTCGTTGAAATGCAGTTCCTGTTATTATCATACAAGCTTCTCCGCAATAAACTCGAATCATCTTATTAACCGTTCACAATCATACCTTCGATCGTTGAGACGAAAGGACTTCCATACGCCCCAGACTCCCATCAGCATAATCGCGATGCAAGGAACTCAGAGCCTTTTGCAGCTGCTTTTCATAGCTATTACGGTCGCTGGTTTGCCCCAGGCCATTCCAACCGAGCCGTACGTCACTCACTGATAGCGCGAAAGAAAGCTGAAACTAACAAAGAATAGCGTGGCGAGAGACATCCAGAAACGTGCCCCGTTTGATCCCTTGGAGAGATGCAAGGAACGCCGGCCCGCCGCAGACGAGCTGATGCTCATCAGCTACGTGGGACACAACATCGTATTCAAGCCCTCTGAACAGAAATTCGACTCCGAGAGCGGCGGCCGCTACGCGTTTCTGCTCGACCAGTCGTGCGAGCGGGTGGTTGCAGAGGCGCAATACACGGCGCTGGGGGGCGGCAAAGGGTTTTCTGCCAAGATTGGACGGTCCTACGACGGCACCGGCCCGGAGCTCGGCTGGCAGGTGACGATCGAGTCCCATGTCGGGGTGATGGGGGCGACCTTTGGGATCAACACCCCGACTATCAAGATCAACGGGGAGGAAAAGTGGAAAGCTTGTAGTGGCTTGCTGAGCAAAAACGAGGGGCTGGATGTTGATTATTGGAAGGTCTGTAACTTCAGACCTGGCACGGTCTGGCCGAAGCCGTGGTGGCCCTACGGCAATGGCTGGTAGTGGAACCCTTCTTTCAGAGGCAGTTGGTTAAATTACTCCATCTTTTGACGTGGTTGGTAGGATTTTGCTCGATTTTATTATGGTACTCTCCGACTGGGTTTCAACTGTTTTTCAGGTCCGCTCTCTGTCTTTTTTCTGTCTTTAATCCACGATCATTCATGCATTATATCTCACAGCTGGGCTTTCCAAAAGTCTGTCCGTATCATGTTAGAAACGCAAGATATTTAGATGAACTTACGAGGCCATATTGCGATATTCTATAAATGCGTCTCTTTCCCAAGTTAACGTAGATTGTGCAGTAGTCGATACATTGCCGCCTCGCACGTGTGACATGACTCTTCTGCCCATCGTGTGACTCCAAGCATTTACAAATGTCAAGGAACATCCTTACTATTACAGCGACTGGTGATCGGCCCGAAGTCTCGGGCCCGCCCCATCCGGCTCCGAGCTGATACGCCGACAGATTTCCCGAATCAGGAAAGTGGGGGCGTGGATTGCCCAACCTAAATACCGACATATTGGCCGGACCCACCAAGGCTCTAGTGCACAATGAAACAATCCAGCTGGCGTCAGGATTCATTTGTTTGAGCGAAAATAGGTATCATATCTGATGCCTAGAAAGCAGTAGAACTAGAATGCTCTCCTCTCGCAGTTCACGTACAAGAAAGACAAACGATCGTGATAGCCGGTGCGTAGGACCTACTACTTCAAGCCAAGAAGACGTAATCGAAATCCCTGTCCACAATATAACAGCGTTCGACATTATCATTCACAGGAATGGGCAAACCGCCGGTTGAGAAATCCCTCTGGTTCAGCACCACCTGAGCAGCCAGACTCGTGAGCTGCATACCCTGCCCCATGCGGATGCTTTCGTAGCCGTCCCACGTGCGCGTCGGGTTGTCAACGGCAAAGGTGAAGACGAGGCCCCCGCCGACGGGCGGGCAAAAGACCGGGGTGAACCAACCGACGCCGTTGATGAGCATGTCGGACACTATCAGACCGATGACCAGGGATAGGACGAATGGGAGCGTACCAATGCCGGAAATGACAGCGTCGGTGCTCCTGGTGCCAGGGAACCAGATCGACACGGCGATCAGGAGAACGATAAGGACGCCGAGTACGTACATCGCTCTCCAATCCGATAAAAACCAAAACACAACATGGACATGGTGTAGACGGATGTCGCTCAAGGTGAGTGGTATGCTGATGTGGCACAGAAAGGGCCAGAGACAGAGAGAAAGTTTGTGTGTGGGTGTGGGTGTGTGGGTGTGTGTGTGCGCCGAGAGAATTCGGTCGAGACGGCCAGCTCGGGACCGCAGTGACGCCGGGCGACAGCCACAAACTTCCGTAGCGGTCCCGATCGGCACCAGGAACCCTTGTCCGTCTAAACGATTCGTTCACACGCCAATGAAGAAACGGAACCAACGGTGCAAAGAAGACAATAGTTAGGAAGGGTGGCAGATAGTCAGTTCGAGCCGGCTTTCGTCTTCCGGCAAGGCTTGCCTTTTTGAGCTTGACTGGCATCCGGAACCCCCTTTCCAACACGTGCTTTTGCTTTCACAACAACTCGGCACCGACGTTTTTCCTGTTGGACCAACTTGGGCTTTCGAATGCCTGACCAGCGAGACATATGCATCAGTGTCTATCAAATGCTTTTTCGCCTTGAACTCTCTACTTTCCCTGACACCTTCATCTCTCACCATTACTGCAGACCGCGACGCTCCTTGACTGCAGCGGTTGATCTCGAGCCCTCCAGCGGCAATTTCCACCTTCTCTAAAGTCCTGTGAATCATTCGCAGTTGGCGTCGGATTCCTTTCCAATGGTCGAGGTGAAAATAACCAGAGGGCATTCTTGCGTCTCGTGTCAACACCAGAAGATCCGGTGCAATGTTCAAACGCTATGCGCTTATTGCAGTCGGACTAGCACAGACTGCGTTCGGCCACTCCCACAAGCTGTCCAAACAGCAAATTCTCGCAACGGCTGTGTAATCCGAAATCGGCTCGCGGCACCGAAAACGCCGCCCGCTCCTAGTAATGGGAGAATCGTTGTGAGAAGCGACCAACGCCGCTACGTAGAGGAGTAAGCAACCAACAAAACAATGAGGTTGAAATGAAAATACGATCCAGGAGACTAACATTGATGTCTTCGTCAGTAAGGAGTCATGCGCGAGTCTCGGCAACGAGGTAGCTGGGACCCTAGGACTGCCTGCAACCCGTGATGGTCATCATCCATGTAGTCATGTAGTCTGTCGTAGTTAGACCAGCCAACTAATCGTCTCTTCTTTTCCAACAGATAGAAGAAAAAGAACCCAACCCTCCACAGGATGGGAGGCCCATGCGGTCAAAACCCGAGCTTGCTTCAAGCAACATTAACTTCATCTTTGGTCGACTGAGGGTTGACTTGCTATCGACGCTGCACCCATCCGCGGTCCAGTCGTTCCAGCTATGGCAAGTCTTTACGAGCAACGTCCACCCCTTGACAAAGGTCCTCCACGGACCTTCTGTCCGGGAAGAACTCCTGCGGTCGCTCGCCGAGCCCTCCCCAATCGATAGTCCCACCGAAGCACTGATCATCTCCATTTATCTCATCGCTGCCGTCTCCCTGACGGACGACGAGTGCCACAACCTGCTCGGTGAGACAAGGAAGAAGCACCTGGCTCGGTACTGCCACGCCACCGAAGCGGCGCTGAGCAGGGCCAACTTTCTCAGGTCAACCGACTTGAAGGTATTGCAGGCCTTCACTCTGTACTTGGTAAGCTATCGAACGACGCATCCCCCCCCGGTACCCCTGCTGACACTTCTGGCAGCTCTCCCTCCACCACCTTTGCGATCAGGACATCCTGTGGCTTCTGACGGGGCTGGCAACCCGCATGGGCCAGAGGATGGGCCTACACCGTGAAAGCTCACTGAGAGATCTCCCGCCCTTCGAGGCCGAGCTGCGGCGTCGCGTCTGGTGGCAGATAGTCATCCTGGACGGCCGGGCAGCCCAACTGAAGGGTGCTACACTGGGCCCCGAGAACCGACTCTACGGCGACGCGAGCCCGCCGGTCGGCATCAACGACGGGGACCTCGTTCCCCCTATGAGCTCGCTGCCCCGCTCATCATCATATGTACCCACGGAGGTGGTCTTCTGTGCCGTTCGAATCGAGATCGGCGTCTGGATGATCCGGCAATAATACCTGCCCGGCTAGGCGACGACGCCCGAGAACAAAATCAAGCTTCTGCGATCCATCGATGAGCTCGAGGGCCACCTCGAGGAGCGCTACCTGCGCCACATCAACGCCGATATCCCGCTGAACCTCTTGACCACACACCTCGCCCGCTCCGCAGTGTGCCAGCTGAGGCTATCTGTCTACCACCCTATCCGCAACCCTGAGGAGGCGGCCTCGGGCCTGAGTCTGGAACAGCTCGACCTACTCCTAGAGAACAGCCTCGAAGTGGCACGGTACTACATCGTGGCTCGAGCCAATGGATCACTCCAGCGTTACGCCTGGCACGTCTCTAGCTCCTTCCCCTTCGAGAGCTTCGTCGTGCTCGTCGGCACGCTGTCCCAGCGGCCAGCGAGCCCGCTTGCTGACGCTGCCTGGTCTGTAATCGGCCAGGTTTATGAGAACCATCCGCGCTTCGCTTCAGACACTGAATAACCACTATATCGGGCGCTTGGCAGTCTCACACTCAAGGCCTGGAGCCGGCACGTCTCGGGCAATAAGGGCCAGCGGTCTGAAACCGTCCATGGGACCGCCGTTCATAAGAAACCTTCTACGCCGGCGGCCCGCGCTGTGCCGCGGTTCCCAGTCCGAGCAAAAGGCCACGACGGCCATGAACTGCACTGGCCATACGACGCCGCAAGGTCTGCAAAAGATAAGTCACCTGCCGGAATATGATGGCTGTGGTCTCGGAGCCTCACAAAACCGGTCACCGCAAGGAGATAGCTCGACCGTGGATGCGGCCGGCGACGAAATCTCCTCCATTATCGATGACATGGATATGGATTGGAGCTTCTGGAAGAAGCTGCTGGATGGCAACGCGCAAGCCGCCGAGATACACAGGAAACCTACTCTTTCTCTTCCTTCATGAGCAGACCGTGACGCTCGTTGTATAGTAATCTCGGAGGCAAATGCGAAGGACAGTGAGTATGATGACGATGTTAGTTTATATCCAGACAAGGGCTTTTGTGTGGATTGTGAGATTCAACGTGTAGATGATTCCCCGCATGTAAATATCACAGGGTGACAAATCGCACATATATTCGTCGTCATTTGTGCTGCTCAAAGACTGATCATGTTGATGACTACCCATCTCGATGTCTCTCTCTATCATCTAGTACTTCCCTAGTCGAGTGCCAATGAGCCGCATAGCAGGTATTCGATCGTCGCGGCTCAAGCTTCAGCGGTGTCAATGTTTGCAGTAAATTTATTTGGAACCCAGCTGCATATTACGCCCGTTATTTCTTTCTCTGCGAGCCACACAAGGAGATATCAAATTTCTGTATCATTAAGCAACGGTTCCGTTCAAGGCTGTCAGGCCGATGTTGCATCTTCACCAACGGCCGTCTCAGGCTTTCGAGCATAGGTAACTTGTCTGTGATGCTTTAGTCACCAAGTCCCCGTGCATGGCGGAGAAGAGAAAAGGGCGACTTACACGTTCCAGTACGCATGAATGTTCCTGTTTTTCAGGTCGTTTCGCGCGCCGGCGCAGAGCACCAAAACCTCCTCCTTCGTCCACCCCAGGGCGCGCGTGAATAGCGCAAGGGATAGCGCCTCGAGGCCCATGTCAAGGTTGACGTTGTGCCACTTGCCAATCTCCTTGAGATTGGCGTCCTTTGGCCACGAGTTTAGCGGCCAAATGTACTTCTTGACGGTAATGTCGACAAATCCGGCGTCCTCCATGGCCTCGGTGTACTTGGCAGGGCTCTCGATGGAGCGGCCGATCTTGTTGCCAGCCTCGACCATAAGCTCCTGCCATTGGTGCAGGGGCGAACCCTCGACGAGAGTGCCGTCGTCGCACCCCAGCGGCAGCACGAAACCCCCGGCCTCGAACCAGCCACCGGGCGCCAAACCCCTGAGGTATTTCATGTCAGCAACACGCCGCCGGATAACGGTGTTACTGGTTCCTCTTACTTGTAGGCCTTCTGGATGACCGCTGCCGGGTCTGCGAAGGAGCCCTCCATTGTTCGGCAGAAGATGTAGTCGAAAGACTTCGTCCATGTCCAATCCTTTTCCAAATCGTCGATTTCGAAGACACAGTTGGGAGGAGTCCTGTAAACTCACTGTCGTTAGTATTGTTTCTCAGTTTGATCGGTTTTCCTCTCACCATTCGGCCTGGGTAGGGCTCAAGTCGACGCCGATAACCTGCCAACAGATCAGCCGGGGGCGTTCTTCTCGCTGCTTGACTAGAATCAAACCTCGGCAGAAGGGAACGCATCCGCTATGGTGAACATGTTAGCAGATATAAATCAGGATAGCAACTTCGTCCTCGGATCAAGCACAGAAGATGGAGGATATTCGTACCGTAGTCAATGGCCCATACTCCGGTGCCCGTGCCCATATCCAAGACGCGTTTTGCCGTCTTGTGGGCTGGGGCGACGGCGAGCTCGCCATCGAGGGTGAGATGCCAGATCTCATGCTGAAAATCTACAGTGGTTGTCAAATTCAGAGTCCACGACGTAAGGCAGGAGTTGTATACTCCTTTCTTTCAACCGGGACGACTGAGATACATACCGAGTCGATCATTCTCCCGCTGTTACCCTCTGTCAGATCTCGCCGTCGGTGGCTACAAAAGGGGACTGGCATGGAAAGACTTACCTCGTCGTTCGGGTAGTTGTACTCTTTCGCCAATTAGCACATTGTGTGATGAAGACAGATCAGTGGATGCTGATTGCGTACTTCCAGCACTCATCGAGTGATAAGTACGGCCATTTTCGGCTCGATGTTCTCGAATACTGGCTGTCAAAGACGCCACAGAGGACTCTTCATACTGCTGGAAGATAGTAGAAATGTCAATTATGGGGCTCGCTACTCGCACATATTACTTTGTGGCAGAAGAGGGTCCGAAAGACTAACAGTGCCATCGTCCTCGAAGTCGTCGGCCTCGGCCACCTGCGTTCAGACCGTTAGTCGCGAGACGCCAGGGCTGGAAATCCAAATTTGAATCTCACGATATGCGTCTCCTGCATATTTGAAGTGGAGTGGCTGCTCTTGGCGTTCTGTGTTTCGCTTATGCGTGTGATCGACGGATAAGATGTGGTCCGCCCGAGTTGACGGGGAATACCAAATTATATGGGAAATAGAACCATCGGGGGCCATCAGATTGTGTACACCCACGCAATCTAGACACAGGGCGCTATTACGCATCCCACCAATATCCAGGGAGGGATGGTTCCCCACTTCGACCTGTTAAAGACTGCATCCCTCTTTAGTTAGTGAAGGAAGACGTATTCAAAGCCGGAGAAATCTCTTCACATCGATACGAGTATGCGCCGAGCTTCGCGTACCACACATCTGTCCTACCTGGTGCCGGATTCATTATTGGCTCACCATGCGGCGCCCAGAGGACCTCAGGACCAGGGTTGGATCAGACGAGGTAGCGTGATAGGTCGGAAGTCTTGGAGATGGGGCGACGCTTGCGCGACGCAGCCGAGGAGGGCGCCCTCAGGCAATGGCGGGGTTTCTCTCGCCGAGGCCCATTCCTTTGTCGGGATGCCCGTCCATCCTTCCAGCTGCACGCGTGGCATTGGCTATATGCGCATGGACCGAACGCTAGTGTATATCGAATGACCAAAAGCCGTAAGCGTAGGATTGGTGATGGGGGGGGAACTATTACCAAACCAGACAGCTATAATCAAATTGCTGCCATCCTCGATCGACAGGCTGGGAACAACATACCTTTCTATAACTCCCGTCCACTCATGCATCCACTTCTGCCAGTTCGGGGTATACTAAGATGTTGATGGCTAGTCATGTAGGCTAGGTGTTGGTGTTGATTATGAGGTCTCTGATGATTGTCAAGTGGTTCTAACGAATCTGTAAAGCCATAGCTTGTGTGGACATATTTCTCGACATGTTGAGGGAATATGAACACTTCTTCACCTTGTTCGCGCTGTTGGCTTTACACTGAAAGTTTGCGTCAGAGACACTGTTCGGCCTTATAGTTTCCTCAAGGTGTTTTAAAATATTGTCCTTCTCAACACAACCTAGCGATGGGACAGTTGCAAATGTATTCAGAACTGGCTTATTGGTAATCCCCAGAAACCTGGCTAAGTTGCATAAGCACAATCCAAAGCAAACCCCTGCGGCAAGCCTACCTGCCCTTTGGCCTAGCAGTGTCGTAATATATTAACTTCCCACTTTTCACTACTAAATTTAAATGTTAATCGCACGCGATGGCATCTCCTGACCAGAACTGGAAAGGCCTTGAGTACTACCCTTAGGATTCTCCTTCGGCACGGGTGATTCAGGATTGTATCAACCGGATCAACGAACCGGAACTCTGTAATTATGCCTCTCAGATCAACCGAAACATCCCTTGCAACCTGCTTCCCGACGCCACAAATGGGCTGCACCATCTAGTGCGTATACTCGAATTCGACGACAATGACAATACTTGATGGGTCGCCGGGTCCAGATGGGAAATTAACAGAAGAGACAGCAGCAGGAATGAAGGCTGAGGTCGATACAATGCGTCTGCTTGCGGAACAAACGCATGTGCCATTACCCAAGGTATTCGGATATGGACTCACTAACAATAATCTTGTTGGGGCTGCTTTTATGCTTATAGAGTTTCTTCCTGGTAATGTGGCTACGAATGCTTGTGGCGGGTACACTGTAAACAGAGGGGAGATCCCTAGAGAGCACCGGGAAAAATTCTTCAGCTCAGTTGCTCGGATTTAGGTAATACATACCCATCAAGAACGGGATCTGTTGGAAGTTTATAAACTAAGTGGCTTTTAGACAGAGATGACTTCAGCTCGCTTGCCTAAGATAGGAAGAGTGTTGAAAGACAAGGGCGGCTATTCAGTCAGTCCTCTGCCCGGGATTGGAGGCCCATTTAAACCGCAACGGCCTTTTTCGAGGCTTAATTAAGATAGGCCCAGTTTTCCAAATCGATAGAAAGGATTCGGGAACTTATGAACGGAGGTCCCACAGACAAGGTAGTTGCCGCTATTAATGAGTTCCCATCTGAAATTAGGTCAATGGCAAGCCGATTGTTCATCCTGTGATAACGGACCGTTTCCGCTTGTCCACCGAGATTTTTATTACAGCAACATCGTCGTTGATGGAGAGTACCGCGTTATAGGGGTCATCGACTGGGCAGGCGCATGTGCCCTGCCATGGGAACTAGTAGAGTTTCCTCTATTCCTAGAGACCCTTCCGGCCTCCATGGATTCACCATTGAATTATGACAGCAGCGGACAGCCAGTTGACATGAACACAAGACAGCGGCTGCAGGATCGCACGTACTGTTTGGGAACGGTTGCATTCTTTGAAGATAGCCTCGGGATGGACTCTTTGCTATCATTAACACTGGCTAATGACGAAGTTTAACGCCTAGCGTATGCGTTAAGGATCTATCTTGATCCTGGGAAGTTATGCTTCTACAATAATGTTCTTAAGGATATAAGGAGAGTCTGGGGATGTAAGCATTAGGTAGAAATTACCTCGAACTTGCAATTATGCTGGAATATTGCGCTGTGAAATTCTATGGCTGTAGCCTCAACCAGTTAAATATTCATTTAATAATCACATGAAAGATCTATCCTTCTGCGTCTTGGCCGTATCAGATAAGAAATGCTTCGAGAATCTGCACCAGCGCCGTATTTCCGATGATACTGAAACTGTAGTTGAAATATAATGCCACTGTACTCAATCCATATGCGAACTGACGACTGTGTAGAATGATGCACTATAGTTTTTACATTTATCCTTCTGGGTCTCTATAGATAAAACAACATCAATACATATGATCGATGGCGTCTATATCTAACAGCCGCTAAGATACTGAGGAAATATTGGCATGTCACGACCCATCTCAAACGTTTTTCCTCCCCTTCCCTCATAGGACTTGTCCTTATCTCTACTAAATACCTGCTACTGAGCAACAAGGCCTGTCACACTCGATCGCTGGCTGTTTCTTGAGGCATTGCGTGGTAGATGCCGCAACCTCGCCAGAGATCTGGTCGGTGAGCGCTACGAGTTGTGCCTGTACGCCCTGCACAACTTCGTTGATCACCGAAGACGCGGCATAGTGCCCGCTGATCATGGCGGCAACAATGCCGCGGAACAGGCCGCAGGCATCTCCCGCCACCCAGGCGGGAGCATCGAGCAGGCGGAGGTTGCCGTCGACTTTAGGGTACCATCCAATGCCCTCGAGGGTGGGTCCGATCAATGTGGCGTCCTCATCACCCCCCAGATCATCGTACGTCTCGGACAAGCGCCGAAGGCCCTCTGTCATTTTCCCAACCAGCTCCGGGCCGTAGATCTCTTCCATGGCCGCCACTACCTCGATATCACCACGCAGGAGGCCCTGCGCCGAGAGCTGGAAGTGCGCCTCGGGCCGAGCCATGGCACTGAGAACGTGGTCGAGCGACTTACGTGCCAGCTCCTGGTTCAGGATGCGCGTGTTGAAGCCTGAATTAGAGCGGCCGGTGGGCGGGCAGTCAGAGCGGCCGGAGACAGTCCATAATCCATTGGTCTTGGTCAGACAGGTCTCGCCGTTACGGCAGACGCAAAATGTGCGCCACTCGACGCTGCCGTCACTCTCGCGTACACGCAGCTTTGGGTCGAGCTGTGGCATATCACGGAAGAAAGCCCGGTCGCTACGCTGCTGGATGCGAAAGCCGACTTCGAGGCGGTGAAACTGATGGTGTCTCGTCATACGGCGCAGGCTGCTCTCAAGGGGACCGAAGCGGCCAGTGGTGATGAGGAGGCGGTTCGCTCCAAGCTGCGATACCTTGCCCGTGGAAAGGTCCTCCACCTCGACGCTGAAAGAGTCCGTGGTGGCATCGTACGTGGCGTTCCTAACGTTGCACTCGTTCATGACTGCGCCACCGATGTCGCCGACCATGTCGTGGACAAGCTTAAGGCGCGCGTCGAGCGACAGATAGTCCGAGGGGTAGTCCTTCAGCTTCCACTGCTCACTCTCCACCATGCCTGCCACCGAGTAGGCGTCGGGGTTGCTGGGGAAGGAGGGGGTTTCGAGGCCCGCCTGGTCCAGAACGTTGCACGTCCAGTCGTACGCCTCGCGCAGGTCGCTGTCGCGCGGCAGGGACCACAGCTCCGATGCGGAGGGAAAGAAGGAGAACTTGCCGTCAGAGAAGAGGCCGGCACCGCCGTGTCCGCGAGTGGCGTCCTCCGGCAGGTATCGATCGCGATCCTGCACGGCCTTGCCGCTGTCGAGGATAGTGAACTGAATACCAGTGCCCTTGAGACGTGCTGCGGCAGCGAGACCCGCTGGCCCCATGCCGATGATGATGATATGAGGACACCCGATGATGGCCATTTTGATTTATTCTTTTCGAGAATGACGGTTCGTCACGAAAATGGGGGGCAAGAATGGGATTCTGGATGAAAGAGAATGGGAGAAGGGTGGAACTTGCAAGTTTGAGTAAGTGATCTGGCAATGCTCAGTGGAATTGCCGACGATTTTATGGCCATCCGCCCACCCTTCTTGCACATTTTTCTTCTTTTCTTCAAGAAAAGCCATTACTGCCTACTAGTTGAAGTTCTACAGAGCGGAGGAGGCGTCCGAGGCCAAAGGAGAGGAGCAATAGCGGCTGCAGCTGCCACAAACAACAATGTTTGTCTAGTGTTATTACGACTGTCGCTTGCCTCGGAGAACGCCATTCAGGATGAGTATGCAACTCGGTGGAGCCATTATCCAATTGTAGTGTCTCAGAAGGTGTTAATTACCTGTGACCATTAGGTACATACAGCAAGAAGTTGGATTATCTGGACGTCTCAATGCTTGATACCTAGGCGGCACATGTAGCGTAGATAGTAGAAACAATAGTCATACTTGAACGGTTGATTTTGTAGCCCTGGAGAATATGATGATTCTCATGACTGCTACTGTGAGGAAAAGCGTGCGGGGGTATGGTACAGCGTTGTCTGAGGCAAAGGTGAGGATAGAGGATTCCATTGCGCATATATTTACGGGGAATATCGTTATTCACGAGGCTTAGTCTGTATACTTTATTAAGTCGCATCATTTCACGGCCTGTCTATTGACTTCTCGAAGCAATGCTGTCGAATATGGCAGTGTTGTCATGTGCATCCGCCCCAAGTACGCTTGTTAAGGCTTGTAAGAAGAGGTCTCTAGAGAGAACAAGGAGAAGGATACATGACAGAAACTTTTCTCTGACTCTACGCTGAAGCGAAATAGGACTTATTACTATATCTAGACACTTTGGTACATTGACGTATCTCTAACACGTAAATCCACTTGAACTTTAACCCCTTTCCACAACCTCCCCTCTGAATGGCGGCCAGTTGCGTAGAAATAACAATGTACCGACATCAAATTACCAGTCGCTAAATTCCGTACTGCGCGCTAGTCTGCTCAATCCCTCTTGTAAAATACACGCTGGAAGCGAGTCATCTTAGAAAGCCCTGGTAGCCCTGGCTGGTACGACGTTTTAGTTACGAGATTCCATATTACTGTATTTCTACCCAGAGATCTTCTATGTGATGTGCGGTATCGGATATAGTGCTTATACGGCGTTTATCTGAATGTGTTAGAGTACTGTTGTGTACCTATGCGACCTTAAGAGGGATCCATTTAGATCCCTACATATATCAGTTAGAACACCGTTACTTGGACCGAGCAAAAGTGCTAGCGCAATTATGCCATTCTCTTCAAATGCCCAAGTACAATCCAAACCAAACGACGTAGAGTTCTCCAACAAAGATTCTCAGAGATTGTATCATTGAAGCATGCAAGAGGCTAGATTAGGCACCGGGGCTGCAGCGATTTCGGTAAGTGTAAATCTTTAGAACAAAGCCATGATCTTGGACGCATCCCTCAGTCGGAACACCAGTACTCGGGCCGATCAAAAGTGCCAGCACAATCATGCCATTCCATGTGAATCTCTCAGTATAATTCTAACTAACAGAAGTAGATTCCTTGAACAAGAATGAGGGGCCAGATGCCCTATATTCCTAAAAGTCCCATGTCACTAAAGCCTGTAATAAGCTAGATTATAAATTATGGTTGCAGAGATGCTTGGAAGGCAAAGGACATAGGTGTACATGTCATCTTGAAATGACATGCCCTCCTCCTATAGAGAAGGTCATACCTACAATCTATAAGTAGGCCATGCCCTAGGCGGCAAGCCTAGCGAAACAAGTGGTGATGGTATTGGTGATAGTTGCTCGATGGTTCGGATGTAAGGTGGGGTGGTTACCCCACCCTCTTTATCCCTTCTACAGATATAGGAATTCATCTTCACAACACAATGAATAAGGCAAAAAAGAGAGAGAAAAGAGGCATGAGCCTATGAGTTTGAGCGCATCTAGCATCAAACAGCATAATAGGCGGACTTTTGAACGGAACCTAACCTCAAAACAGCCTTATTCAATGATAGCTATAAGGTCATATAAAGCGCAGCAGTAATTTAGATAGAACTGCATTTCGGACTCTGCTACAGACTTGATCCTGAAGAAGTTTCCCTCGGTGCAAAGCAGTCGAGATGCCTCCCTCTGATTGGTTGAATCGCGAGCTAGGTGTCCGGAGGACATGGCGCCGCAGGACGGCCTGACGGCCCCGCATGGTAGAATGCCGCAGAGCGGGGGGGGGGTTCCACCTTCAGAGGATAAAAGTGTGTGAATTGTCATATCTCGGCATGAAAAACTGAAAAGATATAGCTAATATACAGGAAGAGCACGTCTATGACGGGACGATTGGGACGGAACATCCTCGGATTCGCCCCAAATATCCATGCAATCGTAGGGTTGCACTCTGTATTATCCTGAGATCCCTCGCACGTACATGGCAGCGGGTAGCAACCCCGAGTCGCACCGCAAGACGTAATATAAGAGTCTAAGGCAGCTTGGGAAATGGGTTGCGAAACGATCATTGTAGTATAAACTAACGGCATGATAGATGAAGACACAACACATTACGTGATCAACCGGAGATATTTCGATTACTCGGCAGTTCTAAAAATCTCCCGTCACTACTATTCCATCAGCCGTACCGTCCGACTCACGTTTCCCATAACGGGTCAATTCCCCAGCGGCCACCTCGACTACAACGAAGCCATCTCCGCATACGCCAAGCGCGAGACGCTCGAAAAAACGGGCCTGGTGGTCAAGGTCACCAGGCTTGTTGCCGTCACCAACTCCGTCTTCTCCGACGTTGGCAAGCACTTTATCACACGCTGTTTGTGTTCTGCGAGCCCGTGGATCTGGAGGCCAACCCGCAGGTACGCTCCGCCCCTCCCCAAGCACCGCTGGGGAGATATGCAAGTTTGTTTTCTCTGTTTTCCAGCCTGCAGAACCTGACTAACTGGTCAAGGCCCATACGCGGACTGATCATTGGAAAGGATCACGAGACCTGCTCCAAGAGGTTCTAGACCCGAATACTTCTTTGTTTGGCTTTCGGCTTGGCGAGGGATCGTATCGTATCTTGCGGTGAAGGTCAGTTGTGACGTTACACGCAAGCCATTCACCCGGTCATGTCGTTGGTTGAGCAAACACATGCAGTTAGGTGGGTGGTGTTTGTGTGGTGGCAAACTCGGACGGAGAAAAATGTGACAGTTTCCGCAAAAGGTAAGTGAGTAACTTGACTTATGGCACAACGGAACACACACGCACACTAGAAACAAGGGACCATCCGGTACTAGCTCAAAATCTAGACTCGCGCAACAACTGACATGGTACCTATCCTGCTCGTTCATTTGTTCTTCTACGTGCCTGACCCTGCCACCTTGTGTGATGAAGCCAGCCCTCTACACTATTCCCGAACTCATACCGGTTTTGGGTGGCTGATGTACTACAGACGAAGTCGCTTGTTGTAAGTACGCCAGGCCGAGATATTCACTAGTTTATTGCATCCCGTCTCTATGTGTTAATCGTACCCGAGGCAGAGTTGTGAAAAAATGGCCAGTTTTGGGGGGACTTTGGCCACAGGCATGGTCGCAGACTCGTAGCGGACAAACTTGCAGAACCCGACAAATTCTATAGCCCTAGCTGGACAAACATTTGTGTATTTGACGAGAGCAATACCTACTCCTAACCCGGCAGGAGGGCACGGGCACCGCTGAGTATAACATATGCTGCAAAAGCGTTGCCTCTTTTTCATCGTCCCTCCTCCAGGATTATCCTCTGACTTGATCGTAACTGCTTGGGCGCGATGGGAGAACGATCCCTTATAGACGACGACTGCTCCGAGGAACACACTCCTAGAGGACCTCACGCCCTTTCCAGAGACACGAATTCAGAGCAGCAGACCATGCCAGAGAAGGCAAAGGCCAACTTCCAAGATGCCGAGATCCTGGTATCAGAATCACCGGTCCCCGTCCCCGGCACAGATGGCGTTCCCGGAAGCAGTGATGTGTCGCTTGGCGAGCCCGACCTCATGGCTGTATACAGCAGATTCACGCCGACCCAGCGCATTGTCATCATCGCCGTCGCGAGCACCATCGGTCTGTTGAGTCCCCTGAGCTCGAATCTGTACACCCCGGCCATCCCGGCCGTCGCGAGGGACCTCAATGTCTCGACTGACGCCATTAACCTGACCATCACCTCCTACCTCGTGCTCCAGGGTATCAGTCCCACTCTCTGGAGCGCCATCGGCGACAGCACCGGCCGACGCCTGCTCTTCCTCATCGCCCTCACCATCTACCTGGCCTCGTGTCTAGGCCTTGCTCTGTCCCGCAACTACCCGGCCGTTGTCGCCCTGAGGGCCGTCCAGGCCGTCGGTTCGGCCTCGACGACGGCCATCGGCGCCAGCCTGATAGGCGATCTGATCCACGTCAGCCGCCGCGGCAAGTATATGGGCAACTACAGCGCCCTAGGCGGAGCCGGCACCGCCTTCGGCCCCGTCATCGGCGGCGTGTTCGCCCAGTACACCGGATGGCGAGGCATGTTTGTCTTCCTGGCGTCTCTGGCCGCGTTCCTTCTACTCTTCACCGCCCTACTACTCCCAGAGACGAAGCGCGGCATCGTCGACGACGGGTCGATACGCCCGCCGCGGTACCTTCGCGCGCCCCTGGAGTGGCTCGACGCGCCAAAGTCCGGCAACGGCGTGGCCGATGCGAAGGCGGGCTCCAGGTTCCCCATCGATACCGGGGCTCCAGTCCGTCTGCTCGTCGAACCCGAGTGCCTGTGCATCGTCATCTTCACAGTCATCTGCTACACCGTGTGGCAGGTCACCATGGTAGCAACCGCCACCCTGTACGCGGAACGGTACGGTCTGGACGAGATGAGCATCGGCCTGACTTATATATCCAACGGCGTCGGCTCTCTATGTTGTAGCGTGCTCACGGGGAAGCTGCTGGACCGCGAGTACAAGCACCAACTCAGGAGGGAACGGGCGGCCCAGCAGGCGGCCGCTGACAACGCCGACGGCTTGCCCCCCGTCAAAGAGGTACAGCATATCGAGCTCGCACGCATCAAGCCCGTCATCATCCCAACTGTGGCTTACTTGGTGTCTGTTGTCGCCCTTGGCTGGATCATCGAGTTCCATGTTCACATCGCCGCCTCTATTACCATGTCCTTCTTCGTTGGAGGCCTGGACACCATCATCCTGGCCGCCTTCTGTACGCATCCCCCCCCCCCCCCCCCCCCCCCCCCCCCCCCGTTAATTGTAACTAGTAAAGCCGTAAGGGGGACCAGATATAACTATTCTTTACCACGGTAAGAGTAAATATTAATATGCTCCTGGTTAGTAGCAAAAAAAAATAAGCAAGTGTGAGGAGATTGATTAATCAACTACGCCGAAATTCCCCACATTAGGAGGCGGGGGAAACGAGTTCACGCCTCAGCGCCCTTTCCCTCCTTATCTTGTAAACTCCCGTGTACGAGACGCTCATCCGATCATCCGGGAACGTGAGGGGTATGGACTCTTCATACATTGTTTGGCCCCCTTTTTTTAAAATCCCCCCCCCCCCCCCCCCCCCCCCCCCCCCCCCTTTCCCCAAACGTAACGTTGTCTGCAAATCGACTCGTATAGAAGCACCTCTTGGCTGATACATTGCGCATACCCCTGTAGCAACCCTCATCGTCGACCTGTTCCGAAGCCAGAGCTTCAGTGCTACCGCCTCGATGAACCTGTCGCGTTGTCTCTTGGCTTCCGGCGGGACCGCCGCCATCGGTCCTCTAATCCGCGCCGTCGGCGTTGGCTGGGCTTTTACGCTCTGTGCCATGGTCGCTCTGGCTTCATGCTCCTTGGCGTTGTTGGAGCTCTGGCGGGGCCGGCACTGGCGCGCGAAGCGCATGCGGGAGGCTGTACAGCGGGAGAAAGCGGCTTCACGAACCGAGCCCCGATAAGAAATAGTTGACTCGTCCTTGGTACTTGCCATGTTGCGTCTTTCTCGTGGATAACTGGGGGGTCGTACAGCTACTTGAAGGAGCCAGACTCTGCAAAGCCGCCTCAAGAGGCGACTATGATACTGTCAAGGCACTGCTGAACGAAGGTACCAATCCCAATACAAGGCCTTGTGGTACTGTAGGCAGTGCAATGGAGGAGTTTTATTATGTTAGGTTTTTATCCTAGCCTGTATCCTATGATTATAGCAGTTAGTTCCTATTTACAAGCCCGTACAACGAGGCGTTACCGTAGTTGGAATTAAAAGGCTGAAGAGACCTTGTTGTCCAGCTGGCGCCGAGACTCAATAAGCCGATCACTGCAACCCGAGAAGGCGTAGAATACGATGGCAGTGTAGTTTGCACTGCATCCTGTATCCGGAGATTGAACTTGTTGGTGATGTACATTTATATGGAGCAGTAACCGGGGGAGGGGCTGGATGGGTTGGCATTCAACCTTGTCGTCTTCCATTTTCGAATGTTCCAAGAAGCCCGTGTTCTTTTAAATGTATCGTCGCTTGATGAGAGCTAAAGAAAAAGGGCCACCCCGTTGCATTGAGCGGCAGCCATCGTATTTGTAATTTTCCTTGTTTCGAGCCTAGCAGACATGGTAGGAAAATGGCTTAGAGCCACCTCCCGTCATATTGATGATTATTTCCAAACTCAAACATCAGAATATTGAGAGCTTTAGCCGTTCCTTTGCCTTTGCTCTCATTAACACCAACATTTCGCCCCCGTCACTTCACATTTATCTCGGCTCGGTCAAGCCAAGTCTACTGCTTGCGGCGAAAAGCCAAAGCAAGCAGCCTCCGCCCTCCCCTTGCGGCCCTTCCTGGCATGATTCTGTTCCGACCTGTTAGGACCTTGGCCTGGGTTGCCTTCACTCGGGGTTGAATCGCCAGCACACAGAGTTTTTCGGCATGCCGGAATGGGCCGATGAGCCCGGGAACTATGTCTCTCCTTGCGGTTGATGTGCTCGAGGGGGGCACGATGTGAGGTTGAAGGAAGCTTGTTTTGGCGCGAAACGTAGGAACACGACTTATAATATCCAGGAATGTCGGCTTCAGCTTAGTTACCAATCACTCAGCCATTCAACGCACGTAAATACGTGGGTAAGGGGGTTCAACATGAATAAGTCACACAGCCAAAATGACTCGTCCCGATTCCCCGACTCCCCTAACCCACTTCACGTCCAAAAGATCGACGAGACCACCCCCCCGCTGCGGCCCTCCACAGGACCAGGGGATGCCCCATAACTAAAGACGATCGCTGCGGGGTAGCAGTAATGACGTGCCCCTCCTTCCCTCCCCCCCCCCCCAATCCCAGTAAACTTCCAGCGACTCGGCACAGCTAGCTGCCCGCCCCATCGTAGGTAGGCCTTTGAACCCGGCGTCCGTCGGTTCTCAGTCGCCGGGGTTTGAACCACCCCCATTCCCGATTCTCTCCATTTCTTTCTCTTTATTTATCTTTATCTAATCAGCAAATGCCGGGGTTGATCAACTTGTCAAATCCCGTCTACCTATCCAGCCAAGACAGACAATTCCCCTGGCTTATCAGGGTGTCTCGGCTACCATCGCCTCGACGCCGGATGCAGGCACACCAGGGACCCCTAAATTCTCGACAACTTCACTTCCTCCCCCCCTCACATCTGGCCACGAAACTAACCATCGCAACCCCGACACACAGTCGCCACGGACTTGAAGAAAAGAAAAGAAAAAACCAACCGCCGCAGACTCCCGCCCACGATGCCTCCCATCCGCCTCGCGACCGCCTCACCCGCCACCGGCCCCACCACGGCCGCAACCTTGCGCCACATTGCCCTCCTCGCCTCCCGCGCCTCCAACCACGGCGCCGACATCCTCCTCCTCCCGGAAGCCTACCTCGGCGCCGGCTACCCTCGCGGCGCCTCCTTCGGTTCAAAGATCGGCTCCCGCGCCCCAGAGGGCCGCGACGAGTACCTCGCCTACTTCCGCGCCGCCGTCGACCTCGGCGACACCGTCGGCCACGCCGGAGCCGGCGCCGGCGACAGGTGGCTGCGGCGCGAGCTGCCCGCCCAGAACGACACCGCCGGTGCCGCGCCAGACGAGGAGGGGAAGAAGACGCCCGAGAGGGGGCGACGGCACGCGCGAGGAACTCGAGGCCGTCGCCAGCCGCACCGGCGTCTTCCTCGTCGTCGGCTGCATCGAGCGCGCCGGCGGCAGCCTGTACTGCTCCGTCGTCTACGTCTGCCCTAGACTGGGCGTCATCGGAAAGCGCCGCAAGGTGATGCCCGTACGTCCAGCTCCCTCTTCCCCCCTTTTACAACCAGGAACTACTCCACCCCTCGCCCGAGATCACACGCTGACCAAAACACCCCCCAAGACCGCGACGGAGCGTCTCATCTGGGCCCAGGGCTCCCCTGCCACCCTCCGCGCCGTCTCCACCACCATCAAGGGCGTCCGCGTCAACCTTGCCGCCGCCATCTGCTGGGAGAACTACATGCCCCTGCTCCGCCAGGCCCTGTACGCCCAGAACGTCAACCTCTACCTCGCCCCCACCGCCGACGGCCGCGACACCTGGCTCCCGCTCATGCGCACCGTCGCCTGTGAAGGGCGCTGCTTCGTCGTCTCCTCCAACATGGCCGTCAGGCACCCCGGCCCCCCGTCCGCATCCTCCTCCTCCTCCGCCGTGTGCCTCGACGAGGACGGCTTCGAAATCGCCCTGCCCGGGAAAGCCTCCGCCAAACCCACCAACGGCACGGCCGCCGGCCCGCCCCCCCGCGGCCGCCGTCGCAAGTCCGTCATCGTCGAGGACGGCAACGAGATCGTCCTTCCGGGCGAGGAGGACGAGCCCCTCCCCGCCAACGGCCACAGCCACGTCGCCTGCTCGAGCGACGGCGCCGACGGCGCCAGGACCGCCGCCGTCGATTGGGTCTCCCGCGGCGGCTCCTGCATCGTCGGCCCCTTTGGCGACGTCCTCGCCGGGCCCCAGTGGGAGGACGACGAGGGCATCATCTACGCCGACGTCGACTTTGACGAATGCGTCCGCGGCCGGCTCGACATAGACGTCGGCGGCAGCTACTCGCGCAACGACTCGTTCAACTTCTCCGTCGACGGCCTCGACCTCGACCCCTTGCCCTACTACTGAGGGTCATGGCCGGCGCCCTTCTACCCCTCTGCGTTTGCACGCGTTGACGCTGGCCGGGATCGTGTGCCTTGGTCTAGGCAGCCGGCGCACTGCGGGCCTGTAAGTGATTGCGTAATTGATGCCCTGAACTCACAATGACTTCCGTCTTCATCGCTTCACTAAGAAGAATAGTCATGACTGGCGAGCACAAATCGTAGCTTCACACTCGTAATGCATGTATTTCCATTCATGTCTAACTCATGCCTAGATTGGCTGCGGATGAGCCCCGTGATGGTGATGACCATAAAACCCCCGAATCCGAATCCGTAACCCTCCCAGCCCCCCGTATAATGCCTACCAAAAACACCGTGCCCCCGTTTCATTAATGCAAGAAAAGGTCGTCGATAGTCTTGGCATATGCCGTCTCAGCGCTCCTCGTCATTCCTTGCCCGACTCGAGCCCTCGCCTTCGTCCTCGGCATCGTCCTTTTCTGACGCTTCCTGCGGACTGGTCAGCGGGCTTGTCACGCCACCTATGCTGCCGTTGATGCTGTCCGCCCGGCCGTGTCCCAAAAGCCCGCTTCGGATGCTCGCTCCGTCTCCGGCACCGCTCTGCTTCGGGTAAGAGCTGGTAGCAGGCGCAATACCAGTGGCCGAGTAGATGCTGGTGCGCTCGGCATTGGCGATGCGCGAGGTGCTTTGATGGAGGCCCGGGGTCGTCGGCATGCCCGCGCCCTGATCGATGTTGGCGCTGAGGACGCTAAGGGGGAGGCTCTCCCGGCTGCCGCCCCAGAGCGACGAGGGGGCCAAAGCGCGGACCGAGGCATCCGTGTCAAGCGAACGCCGACGACGACGTTGAGACGACGACGCCAAAGTGATGATGGATGCGTTATCGGTGAGAAGGTTATTGGCAGTTGCTGTCATGTACGTCGTGGGACTGCTAGACCCCGCCGTTGCGGGTGCAAGGTGGGCGGGAATGGCGGAGGCGGGCGAGGCTGTGGGAAAGGGCTGGTTGAAGTGGATTGACTGGGTGTGACCCTGGTGCGAGGTGTGGTTGCCGTGGTTGGTCGTGTTCGTTGGCATGTGGGTGCCTCCGTTGTTTGGCGCCATGGACTGGATGGTGGTCAAGGTTGTTGTGAGGGATCGCACGGAGGGCGCGGGCGACGAGAAGGTGCTGTCTCCTCCCCTGCGAGACTCGACGCCGCCAACGGTTCGGCTCGTGCCGGCGACTGAGGGAGGGCCGTGGGACGGGGCTGAATGGGTCCCATCATGGTCCGTTGACATCGTAGGGGCCATGGATCTTGCGCCGGCGGTATTTGGGGCGCGGTCATCATCGGACGACATGCGGGACGACCGTTCGATCGAGGTTGCGCTTCCGCTGAGGGCGGTGGAGAATGAATAGGAGCTGGTCTCAACATCGACATCAACGTCGGCATGGCTGGCCGAGCCTACCCGACCCGACTGGGGATAGGGATTGTTGTTCTTGGAGGCTCGCAATTTGGGGTGGAGTTTGGCCTGCTGGCGCTTGGAAGTAGGGAGGCGGACGCCGGTTCCGTCGCTCGAGGAAGAACCCTTGAAGTTCGTGAGCTTCTTGACCCAGGTAGAGAAGGGGCGGCGGCGGCCCACACGATCGGGGCGATCTAGCATGCTGTCAGTATCTCTAGGTGGCAAAAAAAGGGTGCGGGCGAGATGGGACTCTGCCGCAAGTCGCGTGATGGGCAAGCAGAAGCGGCAGGAATGTGAACAGAGGCGAGGAGGGCAAGGGCGGTTAGTTACCATGGGGCTGCAGCGCGGCCTCCGTCGTAGCCATTCGGTAGCCTCGCGATCAGGATATGCGTAGAGCGGGATTCGTCGGGGGGGTGAGTGGGTGAAAATGCTGCCAAAAGTTGTCCCGCTAAGGGGCTGGCGCGGCGGTGAAAGAGCAGGAAAGTGACAAAGTCGGGCGGAAGATGGATTGAACAGGCGAAAGAACAAGCGGGACGACAAAGGCGGCGTTGGAAGGAGTGCGGGATAGAAGGAAGAGGAGGTCGGTCGGTCGGTCAGCGGGTGGCGGGAAGTCGGATTCGGGTACGAAGGAAAGAGACGTGTCGGGAAAGTCGAGGGAATGTGAGGTCGAAATGTAGCGGTCTAATACGGTAGGTAAGCAGTCGGCCGGCGGCGGGTGGTGTTTGTGGTGAGAGGAAGAAAAAGACGATGGGAGTGAGTGTTGAAGGAGAAACGAGGTGGGAATGGGACTGGGAATGGATGGAAGTGGAAGCTGACCGACGGGATGGAACAGCACCAAAGTGAATGCGAATGGCAAGACGCCAGGACGGATTGGGACGATCGGGGGAGACGTGGAGCTGGGTGGGCCTGGGCAGAGAGGGCAGCAGCACTGTCCACTGTCACTATCATTGTCACTCATTGTCTGGGGCAAGGTTTAGGGGGTACACACATACACTACGGATACGGATACACGACCATCGAGTTGCGAGAGGCGCACACAAGTAGGTGTCCAGATTCCGAGGAGTGCCAGTTCCAAGGTAGGTAAGCAGCAGCCTTTGAGATTACAGGAGTCATGTTCATCCAACTTGTCATCTACGGGGAAGCGCCCCCCCGCCTTTGGACCGTCGATCAGCGATGCCCCAGTGGTCCCATCCCAAGCCAAATCTTCTAAGAATCCCGGGACCGTCTCAGTCTGGTGCCGCCGGCTTGGAGGTGCCCAACAGGTCTCTGAAACCGGTGTGCATCGATCCCCGGCGCAGTGGTCCACCCAGATGCATTAATTGCATCGTATACTCCGTATACTCCGTGACTCCGTAGACTGCCAGCCTTCCTAGGTACGGATACACCATCTCGGGACTGCCTGCGGGGTGCGTTGACCAAGGCGGGCTGAAGCCGGCGTGCTTGTAATCAAAGCGCAAAGGCTACACTAGCCTACCTACTAAGACTAGGCACCTTACCTTGGATGGCCTGCTGGGTTCGGGTCACTGCAAGGCACTTCTATTACCTACGTATCTGTATTGTACCTGTCTTGCCTACTTGCTTACCTAAGTCTTTTCCAATGGGCCTGCATTATGTCATCAACATCGTGCTAAGCAAGCCGCTGTCGTCGTCGTCGTCCTACCCGATATGTGATGTCACTTTTCGTCTTCAAAAAGTAGGTAATTAGACGCACGTACACCACTACGCAACCGAGGTGTTTTTTCATGGTAGTTTAACCTGGACATCCCACCCCTTAATATGCAAGCATCTGGAAAACATCCTGATGCCCGAGTGTGAGAGATGCTGTCCGATAGATTCGGTGTGTCACATGTAAAACATCACTCAAATCCATCTCAGCCACATTGTCCAACTCCAGGCGACAGCTGGAGCCCAACGTGTGCAATGCCCACCTTTCTTTCCATCTTCGCTCTCTCTCAATGGCCATCGATAACCGCTCGCCGCTATTGCATGATCCGGGGTGAAACTTACACCACACTCGCATCACCGCCCAGCCAGCCCCAACCACCTACTACATAGGTAGTTATGTAAAACGCAACGAACGATTGGCAAGCCGCATGTCAAAGCTCTCGGCTCACTTTTTTGGGCACTTGCTGCATCTGGTCCCAGGCTGGATTCTCAGACCACATGCGCACGTTCGTGTTCCTGGAAGACAAGGTTACCTAGAGCTGCCAGTCGGTCACCAGAAGGGACGAGGAGGAGAAGGGTGCTGCTTCCTTATCTAATCTTATCTAGTCTTATCACCACTTTGACGTCGCCATGCATTAATCTAACCGCGCACCTTCTCAAATCGGTGCACTGCAAGTGGCACTCCCTAACGAAGTAATCGCCATCTACCTATCCAACCTACCTACCTACCGACCTACCTTACGGCACAAGGAAGCTTTTCTGTAGTAGTCGACGGCCATCTTCGGTGGTTCTCACTGATGCGCCTCGACATGGCTCTCCCATGTTCCAACAATCATCATGTCTATTAAGCCCCTGCCCGAAGATGTCACCCGCCGCATGAGGTCGTCTGCCACCGTGACCTCCATCAACGGTGTCGTCTGCGGCCTCATCAAGAACTCCTTGGATGCAGGTGCTACCAGACTCAAAATCGCCATAGACTACTCTCGTGGCAACTGCATCGTCGAGGATGATGGTTCGGGCATTTTACCCGTCGAATTCCGAGAGACGGGCGGGCTTGGCAGACAGCACCGTGAGTTGGCCGCACCATGCCACCCAGTCGACCTGCATCCCCCATCCGCTAACGCCCACTTAGACACATCGAGAAACGCAACTGAATATGAGTCCCACGGCGCCAACGGCAACTTCCTCGCCTCGGTAGCTGCCCTGTCTCTCTTGACCATCACCTCTCACCACCATCTGCACAACTCGCAAAACTCACTCACCATCCACAATTCGCGTGTCTTGGCCCGTAACATCCCCGCACTGCCAGAACAGCGTCTGGTCACTTTCAACCATGGCACCCGTGTTACCGTTAGAGACCTTTTCGGCTCCATGGCCGTTCGAGTCAAGCAGAGAGCTGCGGTCTCCGAGAAGGCCGCCGTCGACAGGGAATGGAGTCGGTTGGTGCACGATGTCGTTGCCATCCTGTTGGCTTGGCCTTCTGACGTGGCCCTCTTCGTCCGAGACACCGTCAGCAACAACGAGACACACTTTAGGCCCACCGCCACCCCCAGGTCGGACATATTGACTCGTTCATCACGCATTCTGGCTCAGTCGGGTCTTGTGGACGGCTTGGGCCAAGCGCCCTGGACTCCCATCGGAGCGTCTGTAGGAAAACTGAGCATTCAAGGATGCATATCCTTGAACCCGGCCGCCACCCGGCGAGCTCAGTTCATCAGCTTCGGCATCCACCCTGTGACTAACGAACATGGGACAAATATCTTGTACAGCGAGGTTAATCGTGTCTTCGCCAAATCTGGTTTTACCATGGAGGAGGAGGCAAAGGAGGATGTGGCCATTTCCAGCGAATCGCCCCTGACAACATGGGGCGCATCTTCGGGCAAGATTACCCGGTCAAAGCGTGGTTTGGAACGGTGGCCCATGTTCTACTTTCGAATCAGCTCTACTTCGCGAACACGCCCGCTTCTAAGCTACTCCATTGAGGATCTTCTTGATGCCCGCAATTGCACCCTTGCCGATATGATCGACCTACTCAAGTTGGTCTGCTACGAGTTCTTGAAAAAGCACCACTTTCGTCCACACAAGGTCACCACTTCTCTTCGCGGGTCTTCGAAACACAAGCAAAAAGATGGGCTCAGCGCAGCGTACCCGAGGGAAGAAGACAACCGGCCATTGACGGCCTCGTTTCCATCTAGCCGATCCAACTCTGTCACGCCTATATCGAGATCACAATCTCCTTTTGATCTGTGGCAACGAGTGAAAGTCGGACGAGTACTAGAAGGCAAGAGGAAATCGGGTGCATCGACTCCTACATCATCTCAAGCTTCCTGTGCAAAGGCCGCGACGCCTCTTTCAGAGGAGGACTTGGAAGGTACCGGGGCTTTACAGCCCAGCTTGCGATTTCTTGACGATTCGGGGAATCTGTTGCGCAAACCCTTTGAAGACTTGGATACAAATTTCTTCTCCAAGGGGAATGAGCCAAGAGAGCGCGGCTGCGTGCGTCCACTGAGCCCCGCCACCGACGAACAGGTCCATTCACACCGTGAAACTTCGGGCCACACAACGGATGGTGACCAAGTCTCGCCTTTGGAAGAGCCCTTAGGTGCATCCCAAACGCCAAAAGACATCGAACCAGAGCCTCTTTCCTCATCCCAGTTCTTCGCAGCAAGCCGCAATCAATCACAGCGGCAGGAACCTAGCGGATGGCTCAGAGGGCTGTTTTCTCAATGGGAAAACCCAGTCTTCCAGCCTGCTGAGCCTCCCGTGCCTCGCCTTGACGAAGGGACAATGGGAGGGCCCGACCGAGCAGCGATTCAGTCCCTCGACCTGGACGCCGAGTGCTCCCATGGAACCCACACGTCCAACATCAAACTGTCCGGGCGCATATCCAAAGCTGCCCTGGCGGACGCGGAGGTGGTCTCGCAGGTTGACCAGAAGTTCATTCTGGTAAAACTAAGACGAGATCAGGTTTCCGGCAGCGGTCGACCTGACTCGCAGTCCAATTCCGTTCTGGTCCTTGTGGATCAGCACGCTGCTGATGAGAGATGCCGACTTGAAGCTTTGATGCGTGACTACTTCCGTCCGGCGAAAGGGTCGGGAGAGGTGGTTGCAAAGACAGAAACGGTGCAGAAGCCTCTGCGATTCGAGTTCTCGGCCAAAGAGTGCAAAATGCTGCGCAAGTATAATCATTATTTTCGCCGATGGGGTGTATTCTATGAGATAGAGGAACCCGAGGAGGCTCAGTGGCGGCACAGGAGCAAACAGCTCTGCAAGGTGGACGTAACAGGTCTGCCACCGAGCATTCTCGAGAGGTGCCGGTCAGAGCCGAGATTGCTCGCCGAACTACTTCTGCAGGAGGTATGGAGAGCAGAAGAAGGGGAAGTGCCGCCGGTTCGACCCTTGTCCCTCGCCAATGGAGGCCTCGGTCACGATGTTGACTGGGTGTCCAACTTTCACGGGTGTCCCCAAGGAATTCTCGCCTTGCTCAACTCGAGATCCTGTCGGAGTAAGTCGCCTCCATGAGGGCCTCCAAGTAATCTTTACTGACCTCGCTAGGCGCCATCATGTTTAACGATGTTCTGTCCAAAGACGAATGCGAGTCTCTTGTATTGCGTCTCAGTCAATGCTCGTTTCCTTTTCAATGTGCGCATGGGAGACCATCCATGGTGCCTCTGGTTGATATGAGAACGTTGAATATGAACCAGGAATTACACCTAGACAGTTTTGGAAGCCGATTAAAGCAATCCGGCCTGACAAAGTAAATCGTAATAACGGGAGTTTGGGATGACAGAGGCTGCTCTAAAGATACCCTACAGGAAATTTGCGTCCATAGAAATATTACTTCTGGAGCTATGGCCTGGATTATACAGTGTACACATCAGTATTTCACATGAAGTTGGACACAATAATCTTGCTACACCCCGCTAAGTAGACATGATTTGATGGACGAGTAACTACATGTCAAGACTTGCGGGCGGAATCCTGAGTGATATGTGGCTAGTGCACCTCTACGCCACTGTGGCGCATGACTGCAACTCGAGTGTGCTCCACATTGATCGGACATCAGCGGCAGCAACAGCGACGACAGCTCCCAAGCTCCCCACAGCGGCGTCATTGGAGCGCGACGCACCGACGTCAATCAACAACCACCACATCGCTGCGCACTCCCTTGCCGAACCCGCCCTCCTCACGACTTGCTGCCGCCAGGAGATGTAGATATGGCCTTTCAGGTGCGTATGCAATCTGTCACCTTTCTCCACCAGCGCTTGCCATTCGAAGACTAGTACTGACCATGGTCCGCAACAGTGGAAGGCATTCGACTTCTTCGACGTCAGCCAGGTCCGACTCGCCGACGACGAGACCCGTCTCTTTTTCGAGAGCAACGAGATCGCCAGCGTCTGCTCCGGCTCGGACAGTCTGTTTCTTGGTAGCTACGATGGATACGTCCGCATTGTCGGCGCGAGCTGGAAGGTGGTGAAGAGTTTCCAGGCCCACGATGTCGGAACGATTACACACATGCGCCAGATTGAGGGAACAAGCTTGCTGGTTACGGTCGCTGTGAGTGTACTCGCAGCTTTCGCGAATTCGTATGTATGGAACTGACGTCCGCGTAGGAAGACCTCAGTAGCGAGCCGGTGCTGAAGATATGGGCTCTGGACAAGCTGGTCAAGAAGACGAACATGCCGACTTGCCTGAGCACCCTGAACATCAGTAACGGCAAGAAGCAGTTTCCCGTAAGACCTGTCTCGCCCTCGAGTGCCAAGCACATATTGACCTGTTGGATGCAGATCTCGGCCATTGACGTCCTTGATAACCTAAGTCAAGTCGCAGTTGGCTTTGCCAACGGCGCCGTAACCCTGATCCGAGGCGACTTGATCAACGACTTGGGAGCCAGACAAAGAACCGTGCACGAATCCGAAGAACCGATTACCGGCGTTGAGTTGATGACCGACTCCCAGGGCCTCACAACCTTGTTCATCTCGACGACAACCCGGATCCTGAAGTTGAGCATCTCCAAGAGGGGCCACAGCTCTCCACCAAAGACCGTCGAGGACATGGGATGTCATGTTGATTGTATGACGGTCGATAAGAAGACTGGAGATGTGGTTGTGGCCAGAGAAGATGCCATCTATACCTACACATTGGAAGGCAGAGGAGTGCCACGCGCGTACGAGTCGGCGAAGCGGTTGGTGTCGATCTACCAGGACTACATCGCCCTGATATGCCCGCCATCATCCTCCACCTCAGACAAGCCGACTGACAACTTGCGCCGTCGCTTCGGTGGCGGTGCCGCGGACGCCCTCTTCAATGCATCCACCTTCGTTCTCCTGGAACCGGATCTCAGAGTTTTAGGACACACACAGTCTCTGATTTCCCCGTTCAAAGCCATGTTCCAAATTTGGGGGGATCTCTTCATCCTTACGCAAGATGGCAAGGTCAACCGGTACCACGAAAAGTCGTTACAACAGCGTCTCGAGATGCTGTACCAGCGCAATATGTTTCCCTTGGCCATCGAGCTGGCGCAAAAGTCGGGACTCGATGCCACGCAGCAGAGCGGCATTTTCCGACGCTTTGGTGATTATCTGTACCAGAAGGCCGATTATGACGGGGCTATGGTTCAATACATCAAGGCGATTGATACGACGGAGCCATCACAGGTCATCAGAAAGGTAATGTTTACCAGCGGGGAGTATCAAAACAGAAAAGACTGACTGACATGCGCAGTTCCTCGACACCCAACGGATACACAACCTTATCCAGTATTTGGAACAACTGCACGAACACCGCAAGGCGACATCTGATCATACAACGCTCCTTCTCAACTGCTATGCCAAACTCAAGGATATTGACAAGTTGGAAGCATTCATCAAGTCACCCGGTGATTTGAAATTCGATCTGGAAACCGCAATTTCAATGTGTAGACAAGGAGGCTACTACGACCAAGCAGCGTATCTCGCCAAGAAGCACGGCGAAATTGATCTGGTCGTGGACATCCTGATAGAGGATTCAAAATCGTACGACGAGGCACTTGATTTCATTTGGCACCAAGACCCCGACGTGGTAAGTACACTGCGTCTCACGAGGACTACTGGAAACAATCTGACTTCTCCCAGGCGTACCCTTGTCTGAAGAAATACGCTAGAGTCCTGATCGAAAATTGCCCGAAAGAAGCGACGACAGTGTTTGTCGATTACTATACGGGCAAGTACCGACCGAGATTGAATTTGGTTCCGATTGAGGACAACGGAGAGACTGTCGCAGCTGGCGGTATGGTTGCCGGTGCAGCAAGCGCGGTTCAGAACCTCTCCAACTTTCTGCCTTTACCGTATATGAACACATCATCTCTTCAAAGCCCTGAGACACCAGGCAACGGGACTACGGCGATCGACGGCGCCGTTCAGCTTATCTTGAACCCCGACGACATCCCGGTACCAAAATATACACCGCCGCCTCCAAGGACGGCCTTTTCCTCATTTATAGATCACCCGGATGAGTTCATTGTTTTCCTGGAGGCGTGCTTGGAGGAGAAGGGCTTAAAGGAGAGTGACAGGACAGATTTGTATACTACATTGTTCGAGATGTACCTGCACAAATCGAACGAGAAGAAGGGAGAGCAGCACCGGGAAGAGTGGGAAAGCAAGGCCAAGAAGCTCATTGAGGGCGAGGACATTCCCATGGAGAGCTCTAATGTCCTCCTCTTATCACACTTGTCCGACTTCAAGGATGGCACGACGCTGGTCAAGGAGCAGTCTGGCCTTCTCTTCGACATCTTCCGCTCTTATACATCGGCCAAGGATACCCGCGGAGCCATCAAAGCCCTCCGCAAATACGGGCCTGAGGAGCCACAACTATACCCGGCCGCCCTGGCGTACCTCACCTCCGACCCGCGAATACTTGAGGAGGCCGGTTCGGAGGAGCTTTCCGCGGTCCTCAACAAGATCGACAAGGACGGGCTAATGGCGCCGCTGCAAGTCATACAGACCCTCGTCGGCCAGTCTGGCGCGTCGGGTGGCGTGGCGACCATGGGCATGATCAAGCCCTACCTCCACGAGACGATCGAACGCGAGCGCAAGGAGATCGCGGCCAACCGGCGGCGCATCTCGGCGTTCCGTAGCGAAACGGAGCAGAAGCGGGCGGAGCTGGCCGACCTCGGCTCCAAGCCGGCCGTGTTTCAATCGACGCGGTGCGCCGTGTGCACGGCGCCGCTTGACCTTCCGGCGGTGCACTTCCTCTGCAAGCACAGCTTCCACCAACGGTGCCTGCGCACCGAGGGCGAGTGCCCGCAGTGCGCCAACGACAACGCGACGATCCGCGCGCTGCGCAAGACGCAGATGGAGACAGCCGGCAAGCATGACTTGTTCAAGGCCGAGCTGGAGCGCAGCGAGGACCGGTTCGCCACGATCGCCGAGTGGTTCGGCCGCGGCGTCATGGGGCCGCCCAGTGCCGATACGGCGTAAGCGACATAGGGTTGGATGGGGGTTGAAAGTTAAGCTAGGCGAGGCCGATCGCCGGAGGGGCTGTACTGGTTAGCGGGGAGCGGGTTTCGGCGGGATGGAATCGGCGGGAAGAGAGAACGGCCCTTCTGTCTCGACCATCGTTGACGAGTAGGCATGGCGGTAGCGGCGAATATGACGGCGAGGACGACAGAAAAGTCGGGGCTAGTTGTTTCATCGCGTAATTAATGTCAGCTTCGTCTGGGGGTAGGGGGAAGGCTTAGTCCAACCGAACCCTGTTAGAATGAGACGGGGAATACCATATTCCTTTTTTCCATCTATTCCGTTTTCCCGTTTTGATTCTCTCCATCTTCTCTATCCCCCCCCCCCCCCCCCCCCCCCTCCCCAATCGGCGTCCAGCCTTTTGACCCAAGGCAAGCTAGCTCTCCCAGCTCCATATAATGGCGTGGACTGCAGGAGATCCGCACGCCGACGGGCAGAAGCCCGTTCGGTACCCAGACACTCCCCGGGCGGGGAGCAAACCCACAGTTCTGTAAGCTCGCACGAGTGGCGGTCACCGCCGGCGGCTCTAGCGGGCCGAAATTCTCTGTTAGCGAGCAAGTCCATGGCTCCCGAGACAGGCGCCGAAGCTCTTCTCGGACCCATCGATGCGTCCTGGCCAACCCCCCTTTTCTTCCCACGTTACTAATCCTCCCTATTAGCGGTCAGACTTCATAACTTCCGGGTGGGCTCGCTCTTATATTGTGGTAGTCTCTCCCATGTACAAGTTGTACGGCAAAAGTCCCCTGGTCCGGGGGAGCTCCATTCTAGAGCCAGGTACGGGAAAGGAATTCCAAACGGGGGGGGGGGGGGGGTGGTTCTAGCCCGCGATGCCGAGGGCGGAGGGGATGGGATGGCGAGAATGCTTCGGTTCACACGCGGTTAAGGGAAGAAGTCGCGAGGGGGGGGTGGGACGTTTTAGGTTTTCCGACACGCGAACCTCGTTCAACGTCCTCTTTGCCCGGGTCATGGATGGAGGCCCCGTTGGTGATACCAGACGGTCCGGAAGACCGGTTCTGTTTCTATTTCTTTTTGTTTTCTTGTCCCTGTGGCTTGCGGAGTTGGCCTGCCCGTTTATCTGCAAGGGTCAGTATTGACCAAAGCAATACAAGAATAAAAAATAAAATAAAATAAAAAACGCCCGTCCTTGGGCCCGTTGTAAAGAACCCCCCGACGCAGTTCGATAAGGGGAAAAGTGGTTTTTTTCTTCTTTTTTCTGTCTGCCAGCAGGGAGCGAGAAAGAGAGATGCGGCATCGGCGTTCCCCACCATCCCAACCTTTTCCTCATGTTTACCCGTCGAACCTGCCCCCCACCAGAGTCGACCGCCCGCATCAAGTTTTACCTTCCGGGGAAGAAGGAGAGAGAGACAGAGAGAGAGAGAGCAGATAACGGGGGAGGCGGGAGGGCGGGGGGTGTATGTGTTCGTGGCCCAAATCAATGGGTAGAGTGAAGAGAAATATGGCGGGCAAGGGATGTATGTATGTGTGTGTTGTCCGGTGGTGAAGAACGGTGAAGGACCGAACCGAGGGTGTGGGTGCGGCGCCGGCGGCAGCAGCAGCAGCGACATACGACAGGTCATTTGCTATCAGCACGGGACAGTTGCGGGGGCATATCAGGCAAGGTTAGCGTGGCAGGCACGCTCTTATTCATCAAGCAACATTTGCGTGTGTGTGTGTGTGTGTGTGTGTGTGTGTGTGTATTGTCTCTCTCTATTCGTAGACGAAGATTGCCATCTTCTGTCTGTTCTCATTCTCCGCGCCCGTCGCATGGTTTGGGCGGGATATGGAGCGAGCAAGGGATTTACATGCGGAAATGGTACTGAAAAAAAGGCCTCTCTACTCGCTCCAGGAAGCATCCAAGAAAAAGCGCCGTCGCTCCGGGAGTATGACACAAAAATGATACTCATCCAACATTACAAATCAGAAAGCCCTCCCGAAACCTCGCTCTTGATGCTTGAAATTGACAAACTTGTTGGGGCGTTGGGGTCCCCAAAGCTGACCATGAGAGACTATGACCGCCCCCGTTTCCCGCTCGCACTCCGCTTCCCAGTTGAAACAAATAAAACCCCAGGGGAGAAAGTTCTTTCTGTTAAAGACAATGCGTCCTCCATGATCCCGCCTTGCTACGCAATCATCATGCCATCCGGCCCAACGGACAATCCATCTGCATTCCACCAGGCGTCCTCGTCTATCCGTCCATTCGTGTCCGCGTGTAAGTCGTCTCATTCTGCTCAGACGAATCTCTCGCAGTTCGTATGCCGGGGACGCACAACCATCCATTAGAAGTGTTCAAACTGAAGCAAAGAAGCTCTTGGCCGCTGAGATGCAGAAAATGACGCCGTCGTCGTTGTCTGGCTCCTTGAAAGGCAACATACGCAACGATCCGTACACATTACCGCCAAATAAGCCGCCGAAGTTTGGCCTATTCTACTCCATCTCGGTGCTCCTTGACGCTGACTAGACAAGATGCTTCTCTATAGTGTAAATGAAACGTGTTTGAGAAATGTCCACAAGGCAAGGCTGCGAATGACAATGTGTGCAATTTTGTTGCATCATGTTCGTTGGGTATGCTTCAAACGAGAAACGGAATCAAATCCAAAGAAGGGGTCTGGGGGCCTGGTCGGGAAAACTCAGAAATTGGTCGGCTAAATATATGAATGCTATACCAGGAAGCCAGTATACAGTTTGAAAATGTGTACATGTACTCGTCGTGCGGATACATGACGCTTAGTCGGCATAAGTAATGACCTCTTCGCCGTGAATGACAACCTTCTTGGCTGTCTCGGTGCTGGCAATGCTGACATTTGTGTCGCGCCGCCTCGCGCCAAAGGAAATTCGTTCAACATGGGCGTTTGTTGACTTCTTCTTCTTCGACTTTGCCATCAATAACCCCTCGTCACTGTCGCTATCATCGTTGTCACCATCCTCCTGTGCGCGGAGTTCTGGAGTGCGATGAATTGAAGGAGGCGTCTTGTATACAGGACTGGCCGTGATCCGCAGGGGTATCGAACTAGAATCGAATGAAGCATTGAGTTTCTCAAACCGGTCCTGCTGCTCATACTGCTCCAAAGGAAACCCGGCCATCGGCTCCTTGACAAGGGCTGGGGGCGTAAGCGAGTCGGTGGTCTCCAACAGAGTCGGCTTGTTGTTGGCAACACCAGGCTCCACGGGCTCGGCGTCGAGATCTGCCGAAACCGAGCTGGAACCGCTCAGGAGGGCAGGCAGGGAAGGGTCTGACTGGAAGGCGAGCATCTCATCTTTGAAAGGATGGGTGGTAGACGAGATTGGACTGTTCACATCGCTTGGACTTGTCAGGGGAGAAGCCAGCCCGCCGCCACTGGATGCTGAACGCGAAGATTGTCTTGTTTCCATCGTGTCTTGACGGGAAGGAGGCGGCGTCGTGCCGAATAACTCATCGTCGGGCGAGATGGGGCATGGGACGTCTGTTGGGTCGATGACTGCAATGTCCGATCTGGAATCGTCCAGGGCTTGCTGGGCAGCTTGGAGCTGGTGCTCTTCAATGTGCTTGCGGTGCAGCTCGTCTCTCGCGCGCGCAAACGATTCGGGCGTGGATGTATTGTACTTTCGGGGGGGCGGCGTTCTGGCCTCCGGCACGTCCCGGACGCTTTCGATCCTGTGGGCCGTCTGGGGTCTCTCGTCCAGATCGGTAGCACCTCTCTGATTTTCGTAAATGTTGGAGTCCGACTGGGGCTGGCCGTGCTGATAACCGGTGACGGAGCGAGCAGAGAAGAAGAGGGGCGAGGCCAAGCCGTTGCTGACCTGCTTCACTTTGCCCAGGTCGACGGATCGCATGGCACGGGGCCTGCCGGGGAGGCTAGGCATCCGGTGCAGGGTGCCAGGGACACTCGCGGTCGTCACGCTTACTTGTGCGAGAGCGCGCTTGTCCTGCTCTCTAAAGACGCCACGCTCGGCCGAGCGCGCCCGCAAAGCCTCCTCTGTCAAGGCGTCGTATCCACGCGTCTGCCTCATGTCCCTGACTGGGTCGGCAAGTGTCTTGTCCGCAAGAGGGGTTGGAGGCACAGTCTTCACCATGGGCAAGCTCGCCGTCAGAGTCAGAAAGCTGTTGCCATTTGAGGGGCTCTGAGAGTATCTGTACGGCTTCCAGAGTGTTGGATTCCCAGGTATCGTGGACTGGTCCGACGGCGAAGCTGTGCCGCTGTTCGTTCTGGAACCATTGCTGTACCGCAGGGCCTGCAGTAAGGTGGTCCCTGTAGGTGGGGGTACAGCGGTCGCGAGAGGATCGTACGGAGACTCGTACGGGGACGCGGTCTGGCTGTGGACCAATGGATGCTCAGAACTGAAGGCGAAGTCCTTAGCATTGATAAAGTAGGATTCGTCGCTCTTCAAGCTTTTCCGACGGGCTTCTCGCGAGTGTGGTGTGGGAGGCACGTTGGACATGCTGTCTCCAGCCGAGCTGGCGGCGCTGCTGGCAGCGCGGCGCCGAGACCGGCTATCGTTCCGATCGCCTAAAGGGTGCATCAGCTTTCCGACGGCCTTCTTTACTGTGGATCGCGCTCGCTCCAGAAAGGCGATGGGAACGACGGCGTGGGCGGTCTCCTTGTCGTTGACCTGCACACGCCTACCCTGGGACGGCCGCGCCGGGTCGGTGTCGTCGATCCAGGTGATGGGGTTCGGGATGCCCTGAACGACCCACGGGTGCCTCTTGATATCCCGCAGACGGATTCGCTTCTCCGGGTTCTTGGTGAACATCTGGCGCAGGAGGTCGTAGAGGAGGTTATCGATGTCCTCGTAAGCCAGCTCGTTGTCGTCTCTGTAGGGCGGCACATTATGACGCTTGAAGAGAGACTCCGAGTTGGGGGGTGTGGACGGGTCCACGGGCTTAAGACGTTTCCGCGGGATGAAGACTTCCTCGGTGGCGATCTTACGGAACATTTGCCATTCGTCTTCGGCCTGGAAAGGGATCCTAGCGTATATGAGGCAGTAGAGCGTGACGCCCAACGACCAAATGTCAATCATTTCGGATATTTTTGGCTGTTCCATGCGATCGGCGTCGGTGTAGCACAGTTCAGGTGCGAAGAAAGCCGGCGTGCCGACAGTCTTGGCCAGCTCGAGGTCATCGTCGAAATCCTGTGCTTCCGATTCCGAAACGGTCTCGTCGTCGGGTTCACCATCTCGGATGGGGCGGCCAAAGTACGAAACACCAAAGTCGGAAATCTTGACGCGGTGGTCTTTCGTCCAAAGCAAGTTGGCGGGCTTGATGTCTCTGTGCACGACACCCTGGTAGTGCAGGTATTCCAAGCCCAAGACAGTGTCTCGGAAGGTGGTTCTCGCCTGCTCGATGGTAAAGCAAGGAACGTATGAAAAGTCTTCAGCAAAGGGGTCATGCATCCGAGAATTCCAGTCAACCGAGGACATGTGCGAGATGATGGAATCAGCCATACTGGGTGACCGACCGCGCATGGCGGCGTCTTCCATGTAGGCGCCGTACATAGTCCCTTCCAGAGCAGTGGCCGAGCCCGGGTTGCTCCGTAAGGCACCCGGCGTTTCCATGTCGTCGGTCTCGATGATGGCTTCCTGATCATAAACGGCGGCATCTCCGATGGACTTGACCGACTGTGACCGTGACGGTGCTCTCGACGTGGCTCGCGAAGCCTGCAGGGAACTCGGCTGGGAAGTTTCGCCTGGAAAGTGGTCCAGATTGCTCAAGTCGTCTCTAGATGGGACGCGGGACTGTGACGCGTTACTTGCATCATCGTAGGCGCCGAATTCGTTGCTCCAGAACCCCATGTTGGCCTGGGACATCCTGGCACGCTTCAGCTCTCTCAGAGCCAAGCGCCTATCCATGATCAGGTTATACTGCTCTTCCTCGGGCGTGGGCGGTTCGCCGCGGGCTTCTCTCTCGATACGGCGACGCTCGTGGTAGCAGATGTGAGGGAGACCCTTCTTTCTCCAGACAACCTCGCCCAGCTCGACATGTTCGAGGATCAAATATATCTTTTTGAGTTCCGGGTCGTCGATGATCTCGAGCAGCGAGACGACGTTGGGGTGTCTCATCTTTTTGAGGATGGCAATTTCCCGCATCGTCTTTTCCTGGGGAGACATGGCCATGACCTTGCCGAGTCGACGCTTCTTGGAGTAGCGCGGAATGATCTTGATGGCGACGTTTTCGCCAGTCTCGAGGTTTCGGGCTAGTTTGACCTTTCCGTGCATGCCCCTGCCGATTTCTTCAATGACCTCATACTGATTGATGAGTTTGCGACCGGTGATGCTGTCGGAATCGATCAAGGCTTTGTGTGTCCTATCGTTTGAACATGGTTAGCTTATCAAATGATGGTTCCCTGGTCGCGGGGTTTGCAATCAAACGTCCCCCTGTCGGGTAAAGCAATGCCCAAGCGCAGCCATTAGTGTGCATCGACATATAACCAGCATCGCCAGCGGGGTAGGCAGCGTGGGCAGAACGGCAAAACAGCGAGGGATGGAAGGACTCACTCTCTGACTTTGTGGTTTTGCAGTGGGTGCAGGTAAGGGCTGTTCGCCTCGACGCTGGGGGTGTTGGAGTCGGACGAGGGATGAACCGGGAAGTTCATTTTCGGACGTGGGTTCGAGGGGCTGAAGAGACCGGGCGAGGTCATGGGAGTGCTAGCGGAAGACCTCAAAGGCAGCACGTTGGGCGTGGGCTGGACGAGAGACTGCAGGTGAGGGTGGGGAATGTTCCTCTGAGGAGGAGGATGTTGTGGTTCCATGGTTTGCGTGGAAAGGCTGAGGATGGACTGATCGGGGAAGTCTCAATCGGCGATTCGACATGCTGAGGCGCATGAGAGTACGTAGGACGGGCTCGCACGGCGGCCGAAAAAGCGATAGAGAGACGGCGGTGGATCGAAACTCAGGTAGCCATGATAGTGTGCCGCAGGCAAACTCGGGCGAGACAAGTCTGGAAGGACGCAAGAGTCGCCGAAGCAGTCTCGGGGAGGGGCGAAGACGTGAACGCGAAGCGGAAAGTTGCGGTGACGGTGCCGAGGAGGCAGGTTGGTTCGCAGTCGGCAGTTGGCAGTTGGCGGTATTTCAAATGATGATGTGTGTGATTGTGCGTGTCGTGGTTGTCGTATACGTTGGTCGTTGTCGTCGTAGTCGTGGGTGGAAGAAATAAAAGGAGTGTTGGCAGAAGAAAAAGGCAAGATTACTGGAGGCGAAAGTCGGTGGTGACTGACGGCAAGGTGAGGTATTGACGAGGCGAGAGAAGTGAAGTCAAAAACGGATGAGAGAGAAGACGGGAGACTGGACCCAGGTTTGAAGGTTGGCAGGCACCAGGTACTTCTGGGGGGGGAGGGGGGTGATGGGACTCAAAGACGACGAGGGGAGCGACAAGACGAGGGATCTCAGTCTTTTTTGGTGTGTGTGGGTGGGTAGGTGTATCTGTACGGTATGTGGGCAGCAAGTAGGTAGGTGTGGATCAATGATGGTGGTGGGTAGTGGGTGGTGGGTGGTGGGTAAGCAATGGGGTACGGGCGTGTGCCAGGCAAGGTTGGGAATCGGGAGGGGATGGGAAGGGTGGAGGGGGGGGGGGAGGGGGGGTAAGAGGAGAGAGGAGGGGGGGGTGGGGGGGAGGGTAAGGTAGAAACGGGAGGGGTGGGAAGCAAGAGGCAATAGCGCACAGTACGAGGGTTTTTTAGGTAGTGCCAAGCGGGGGGGAAAGAGAGAGAGAGATAGAGTATGTGTGTGTGTGTGTGTGTGTGTGTGTGTGTGTGTGTGTCAGTGAGAGTAAGAGAGAGTGAGTGAGAGAGAGAGAGAGAGAGAGAGAGAGAGGGAACAGTGCTGGCCGGCTAGCCGGCGGGCTGGCTGGCTGACTGACTGGCTCGATGCGACTGGTTTTGACCGCGAGCGCGTGTCTGCGCGCGCAGGGAAGAGGAAGAGGGATACCGAGACAGGACGGACAGTCTAGGCTAGACTTGCTCTTAGGTCTACATACGGTATCCTCCGTGTGAGGAATCGACGTATTCCCACCAATTCAATTGATGCTTCTGCTGCAACTACTGCTACGGTTACTGTTACTCTTACTGTTGTTACTGTTACCATAAACGAGGGTCGTGCTTCGGTACCTAGGGATGAAATTGAAAATGTACGTGAACGCAATCGTTATAACTCTAGCAGAAGGCCAGGTAAGGAAAGAAACGATAATACTACAGATTAATAACAAGATAAATAACAATACTGTCTTAAAACCTGTTGGTGGAGCGATGTATTCGCATATCCACCAACGGTAACAGGAACATTGTGGGACGGGACAGGACACAAATACTACACGGGGATGATGGATGCGCCTCTGATGGGGATTGCCAAGAGACGGCCAAGAGACGCAGAGACCGTGGACAACAGCGCACAGTGGATTGCATCCTTTTCTTGTCCTTGTCCTTCTTCCTCGGCCTCGTCTTCTTCGTCTTCTTCATCTTCTTCCTCTCCCTCGCATCCTATTTTTTTTTTTTCGCAGCCAAGGCGCAGGATTGAGACGGGATGGCGGGAGCCATCGAAAGAAGAGGGGAAAAAGATAAAAGGGAAACAATATACACACACAAGGGTCATGGTGCAGGGATGCGGTACGTACAATGTACATTGCACAGGGGAAAGAGAGAGCCAATCTGGACGAGGTCATCGGCCTCTTGATTGGCTTCGATAAGGACTGCAGCTATCTCATATGGGCCCCTTGCTGCATCGAGGCTGGCGTCGTGTCGGTGTGAGGTTAGTGGATAGCGTATCCGCACAGGCTCAACGCCGGAAATTCCAACTCTCTCTGGGGCGAATCCACTGCGTCTCCTATCTCTTATCTGCCAGAAGCACAGGGAGCATGAGCAAATCCACACCCGGCCGTACTTACATACATGCGGCTTAGTGGTTGGCACGTCCAGAAAAGGTAGGCACTACGGAGTACCTGCGAATGCTTCGTACTTTACACAAAAAGTACGTGCATCGTACATACATCTCGAGATGGGAAGGAAGGCACGTTCTCTCTGGATTGGATTGTTCCTTTGTCAGCCCGGCATCTACAGATATCCATCTTACTCGAGGCCCCCGAGTACGTGGTCGGCATAAGTATCCGTATATACAACCATTTGATCAAAGAAATATTCAATACTGTGCCCAACACAGCACAGCGCAGCACAGCACTGTCCAATGCGTTGACGGCGGATAAATCAGAGGCGGAAAATAATAGCAATACGTACATTCTATCCTTTCAATGCCACCCACCAGAGCAACCTCATGCTGCACATGTCATGCAGCAATGTCTGATTCTGCTCCCGGTTGCCCTCGCTCCCGTCCCAAGGCAATCAATCAATCAGTTGCTCGTCTCTCATCATCATCATTGCCATCCTCGCTATCACCGCTCGCCTCCCAATAACGCATTGTCGTCCGCCATCACACTGTACGGTACAGTGACATGTAATAAGTCTGGGCTCACCACACAATGTGCCACCTCCAATAAGTGAGCCCAGACTTATTACATGTCACTGTATCTACCTAGGGAGGCAAGCGTCGGAAGCCCCATCCAGCCAAGTGCTGCACCATCTGTATGCATGCGAGCGTTGCCGCTCCCATTTCCGCGCGGCGCTTGGCATTAGATTAAAAGAAAAGAAAAAAAAGGAAAAAAGAAAAGATCTAAGCATTCGGGCCCAAGACTGGCATCACAGGTTTGCTTCGGCTCGACCAGACGACACACACATGTACGACTAGTGATGCGGAGCCAGGAAAGGTTGCGTGGCAGCCAGCAAACACATGGAATTCGACATTCCCATCCGCGCAATCATTTTCAATATGATAGCAGCAGCAGCAGCAACGGTCCATCTACAACCTCGTGCCGTACTCTACCTGCAGGTGATGAGCCCCCATTGCGGCCGCAATGCTGTGTGTTAACGTTTCGGGTTCCTTGCTCCGTCAAAGCCCAAAGCCCCCCCCCCCCCCCCACACACGAGCTCTCATTCTCCATCTCGATCGCCTTGAATCGAAGCTGTCCAGAAAGCAGGAAACGAATCCTTGGAAGTTGGAACCAGGCACAACGGATGGATCCCAGCAGCCGCACATGCTTCGCACCACTGAGGACGTACATGGTACATACCTACACACTTGCGCTGCACTGTCGCATCACCCGTCTTATTAACCTCTCGCCTGCCGTAGCGAACGGGTGGATGGATACCATGATCCGGTTTCTGAAGCGTTGGGGCGGGCCTTGCGATTGTTAAAAGAGAGAGAGAGACACAACTCACGACCCTGGAGGGATTAGCGGGTGAGCAGCAGGCTGTGGTGTCTTGGCCAAGCCCAGGCAAAAACAGCAGAGCAGTGAGACTGGTGAAGCGACTTTGTGCGTTGTCCTACCGTCTTGCCTTGTCTTGTCTTGTCTTGTTCTTCCCGGCAGCACATGGGAAGATGCCGTCGGCGGTAGTGACGATGGCGATGGTGAAGAGCCGGAGGGGAGGGAGAAGAAAGACAGGCAGGCGACAGGGGTGATGGCTGTTGGCTGTTGGGCGCCAGTGTGCTGCGGGCCTGCGGCTGCCAAAGCGAGCCGACTCGAAGACGAAGAAAAGAAAAGAAACGAAAAGCTAAACTAGGCGTCCTGCTCCCTGAAAACGCGCCTCTCGTGCCAAAAAAGTCTCTACGCGCGCGTATCAGTAGTGCACACTCACCACGGATACTGCATCATACACTACGTGCATAGGTACGTACCTGCCTACCAAGCAGAAAAATGCACCTCTTGGTGGTTGGTACCTACCTACACAGTACTTACTAGTGTAGTAGTAGGCAGGCAGGTACGTATCGGCAGCCGTCCGCGTAGATAAGGTACGTAGCCCAAGTGGAACCGCAGGACGGGATCAGGGGAGGGGACATGGACATGGACGGCAGCCACGGCCCACGGAGAAAGAGAAAGAGAGACTTCCGGTCAGGTACCTTAGCTTATCGCGCCATGATCTGCAACTCGTCATTGGCCCGATGGAACCTCTCACCTCTTTTCGTGACATGCGCCGACGACGGGGCAGGTACCCTGTTTTTATCATGCATTTTATTTTTATTTTGTGTCCCTCTCATCCTCAATTCGCTCTTGCCTTGGCTTGACATGAGGCAGCAGAGGTACGATCTAAGTTCCTTCCGGGTACTCCGTACATGGCACCACCAACAAACATTCCACCCCGTTGCTTCTTTCAGCTTCGTCTTGTTGTGTTTTGTTTGTTTGGCTTGAGAAACGGCGATAAGGAGAGACCCAAAACACCCAACTGCTTGGGAAATACGGCCCGAGTCAAGTGTGTTGGGCCGCCCGCCGTCCCAAGACCATAGGCATGTAGCTACCAACCTACCTTGCCTACCCAACCTACATACTGACCTTGGCTAAGGTACCTGCTAGCTCCACGACGCACCCGCAGGCACGCAAAGTACGACTACGGACAGAATCGGACCCTTTCTTCGCAAGGGGAGCCAGCCAGAGACAACATTCCTCCTTGTCGATACTGGCTGTGACAGACTGCGCCGGTTCGAACAAAGAAACAGCCCATCATCGACCTTCTTTCCACCCCCTCGACTGTCTCGCCCATGTCTTCTTCACATCCCCTCTGTGACGCTGGCCCCTTCCGACACCCGAGACTTACAACGACACTCTCGGGGACCCATACATACACACACTACTTTATTCGTTCCACGCATTCAACACTTTCACGGAACACAGACGCAAACACACGACCGGAGGACCGACGGCCCAACCTGGCCG